AGCACACCTGGGAGTCACCTGGGGGGTTTGGGAGTCACCTGGGGGCACCTGGGGGCTTGGGAGTCACCTGGGGGCACCTGAGCACACATGGGGGGTTTGGGGTCACCTGGGGGCACCTGAGCACACCTGAGCACACCTGGGAGTCACCTGGGGGGTTTGGGAGTCACCTGGGGGGCACCTGGGGGTACCTGAGCACACCTGGGAGTCACCTGGGAGTCACCTGGGGGGTTTGGGAGTCACCTGGGGCACCTGAGCACACCTGGGGTCACCTGGGAGTCACCTGGGGGCACCTGAGCACACCTGGGAGTCACCTGGGGGTTTGGGAGTCACCTGGGGGGTTTGGGAGTCACCTGGGGGTCCACCGCCCCAGGGTCACCCGGTCACCCTGGGGGACGGGACAGGGGTCACCTGGGAGCACCTGGGGGCTGGGAGTCACCTGGGGGCTCCACCTGCCCCAGGGTCACCTGGGCGTCACCCTGGGGGACGGGGAGAGGGGTCACCTGAGGTACCTGAGCACACCTGGGGGCTTTGGGAGTCACCTGGGGGATTGGGAGTCACCTGGGGCACCTGGGCACCTGAGCACACCTGGGAGTCACCTGGGGGGTCTGGGAGTCACCTGGGGGCACCTGGGGGGGTTTGGGAGTCACCTGGGGCACCTGGGCAGTCACCTGGGAGTCACCTGGGGGCTGGAGTCACCTGGGGGTTTGGGAGTCACCTGGGGGGCACCTGAGCACACCTGGGGGGGTTTGGGAGTCACCTGGAGGAGCCTGAGGGGGAAGTTGTGGGTGGGGGGGTTCAAAGTCAGGTGTGCCCAGGTGAGGGGGTATTTGTGTCCCAGGACCCCCAGGTGCCCCCAGGACCCCAGGTACCCCTCACCTGGTCGATGGCGCGCAGGGCGTTCAGGTGCCCCCAGGTGTGTCCCAGGACCCCCAGGTACACCCCAGGACCCCCAGGTGTGTCCCAGGACTCCCAGGTGTGTTCCAGATGCCCCCCAGGCCCCCCAGGACCCCCCGGTGCCCCCTCACCTGTGCGATGGCGGCGCAGAGGGTGTTACCAGGTGTGCCCAGGTGAGTGGGTATTTCTGTCCCAGGACCCCCAGGTGTGCCCAGGTGAGGTTTTGTGTCCCCAGGTGTGTCCCAGGACAGGTGCCCCCAGGTGTCCCAGGCCCCAGGTGTGTCAAGTGTCCCCAGGTGCCCCCAGGTGCCCAGACCCCAGGTGTGTCCCAGGACCCCCAGGTGTGTCCCAGGACCCAGGTGCCCAGTGAGGGTATTTGTGTCCCAGGACCCCAGGTGTCCCCAGGTGCCCAGGACCCCAGGTGCCCCAGGTCCCCAGGTGCCCCAGGCCCAGGACCCCCAGGTGCCCCCAGTACACCCAGGTGTGTCCAGGACCCCGGTGTGTTCCAGATGCCCCAGGCCCAGGCCCCAGGCGCCCTCAGGTCGATGGCGGCGCAGGGCGCCAGCGTCGCGAGGCAGGCGAGCAGGGAGCAGCAGCAGCCGCCGCTCCAGCGCCGGGTCCGGGCCCCCTCGCCGGCCCCTCCCCGCCCGGGGGCTCCTCGCTCGCCCCTCCCCGCGGGGGCGGGGAGAGCGGGGCCTCCCGTGGCCACGCCCCCTGGTGTGGAGGGGAGGGGCCTGAGCCGCTGGGGCGGGGCTGGACGTGCGGGCGGGGCCGACAGGGACAGGTCGTGGGGGGGGGCTGCAAAGGGGGGGTAATTAAGGCTAATTAGTGCTGATTGGCCACCCCTTGGAGCCATAGTTAGTTAGTAATTAGTAGTTAATATTAGTTAATTACCAATTAATATTAATTAATATTAATTAATGTTAATTAATAAATAATGTTAATATTAATTAATGTTAATGTATTAATTATTAATTGAATTATTATTAATGTTAATTAATATATCATTAATTGGGATATCGATGTTATTAACATTAATTAATAACTAGTATTGATTAATATCAATTGATACTTTTAAATATTTAATATTACTTTTTAATTACTAATTACTTCTTAATTAATAATTAATATTTGTTACTAATAAGAATTAATAAAGCAAGATAATTAGTAACTAACAATCAGTAATTAATCCCCGAGTCCTAATTAACACCTGCCCCCCATTAGACCCCCTTAATTAGTCCCCAGCCCTTAATTAACCCCTCACCCCCCTAATTAACCCCAGAACCCCCCCCATTGCCCACCCTCTGGTCCCCTAATTAACCCCTGGCCCTTAATTAACTCCTGATGCCCTCATTAACTCCTGACTCCTCCATTAATCACTCAACTAACCCTGACCCCTAATTAAACCCTAACCCCTAATTAACCCCTGACCCTAATTAATCACTCCTGACCCCTCCATCAACCCCCTTACTGACCCTAATTAACCCTGACCCTGCATTAATCACCCCTGACCCCACAATCCCCTAACCCCACTAACCCCTGACCCCTAATTAACCCCTGACCCTGCATTAATCACCCCTGACCCCCAATTAACCCCTGACCCTAATTAACCTCTGACCCTCCATTCAACCCCCTGACCCTGCATTAATCACCCCTGACCCCCAATTAACCCCTGACCCTGCATTAACATCCCCTGACTCCCCCAATTAACCCCTGACCCTTAATTAACCCCTGACCCTGCATTAATCACCCCCTGACCCCCAATTAACCCCTGACCCCTAATTAACCCCTGACCGCTAATTACCCCCCCCAATGGCTCATTAACCCCTCCCCGCCCTTAATTAGGCCCCGCCCCTTCATTACCCGCCCCCCCCAGCGGGTCCTGCTTCCTGCGGCGCTGGAGCCGCTCCCGCAGCGAGTCGAGCTGCTTCTTGTGCGCCTGGATGGAGCTCCACGTGTCCGACATCGCGGCCCGCGCTCTCTCCCTGTCGCGACAGCGCCGCGATCGCGATCGGGATCGGCACCCACAGGGCCCGGGCCCAGCCCGCAGAAACCGGAACCGGAAACCGCCACGGGGGGAGAGGGGAAGGAAAGAAAAGGGCGGGAAAATGAGGCGGCCGCCGCCATTTTGAGTGAGGGCAGCGGTGCCGTCCTTAAGGTAGCGTCCGCCATTTTGAGTGAGGGCAGCGCTTCTCTTTTCTCCCTTCGGTTTCCATGGCAACCGCCGCCATTTTGGGTGAGGGCAGCGCTTCTCTTTTCTCCCTTCGGTTTCCATGGCAACCGCCGCCATTTTGGCCGCGGGCAGCACACACCCCCCCCCCGTTTTAAGATTACCGATTTTGGACAGAGCTGTAAATCCCCCCCGCCCCCTTTATCGCTTCCGTGGCAACCGCCAGTAAATTCTGGGGAGCTGTCACGGTCCCCGTGGCAACCGCCGCCGAGTTCGAGTGAGGGCAGCGGTGCCGTTTCCGTGGCGACGTCCGCCATTTTGAGTGAGGGCAGAGCTTTTCTTTTCTCCCTTTGGTTTCCATGGCAACCGCCGCCATTTTGAGTGAGGGCAGCGCTTCTCTTTTCCCCTTCGGTTTCCATGGCAACCGCCGCCATTTTGACCGCGGGCAGAACCCCCCCACAACCCCACCCCTTAAGATTACCGATTTTGGGCAGAGCTGTAAATCCCTCCCGCCCCCTTTATCGCTTCCGTGGCAACCGCCGGTAAATTCTGGGGTAGCTGGCACGGTCCCCGTGGCAACCGCCGCCGACTTTGAGTGAGGACAGCGGTGCCGTCCCTAAGGTAGCGTCCGCCATTTTGAGTGAGGGCAGCGCTTCTTTTTCCTCATGGTTTCCATGGCAACCGCCGCCATTTTAACCGCGGGCAGCACACATCACCCCCCCCCCCTTAAGATTACCGATTTTGGGCAGAGCTGTAAATCCCTCCCGCCCCCTTTATCGCTTCCGTGGCAACCGCCGGTAAATTCTGGGGAGCTGGCACGGTCCCCGTGGCAACCGCCACCGAGTTCGAGTGAGGGCAGCGGTGCCGTTTCCGTGGCGACGTCCGCCATTTTGGGTGAGGGCAGCGCTTCTTTTTTTTTTTCCTGGTTTCCATGGCAACCGCCGCCATTTTGAAAGCGGGCAGCACACACACACACACACACACACCCCCCCCATTAAGATTACCGATTTTGGGCAGAGCTGTAAATCCCTCCCGCCCCCTTTATCGCTTCCGTGGCAACCGCCGGTAAATTCTGGGGGAGCTGGCAATGTCCCCGTGGCAACCGCCGCCGAGTTCGAGTGAGGGCAGCGGTGCCGTTTCCGTGGCGACGTCCGCCATTTTGAGTGAGGGCAGCGCTTTTCTCTTTCCCCCCTTCGGTTTCCATGGCAACCGCCGCCATTTTGACCGCGGGCAGCTCCCCCACCACCACCCTCACGGTTGCCATGGCAACCGCCGCCGATTTTGGGGGTGCTGTAAATCCCCCCTCCTTTTATCGTTGCTATGGGGACCGCTGCCGATTTTGGGGAGCTGTAAATCCCCCTCCTCGCCATTTCCATGGCAACCGCCGCCATTCTGAGCGAGGGCACCGGTGCCGTTTCCGTGGCAACGTCCGCCATTTTGAGTGAGGGCAGCGATTTTCTCTTCCCCCCCTACCCCCCACCCGGTTTCCATGGCAACCGCCGCCGATTTTTTTGGGGGAGAGATGTAAATCCCCCCCACCCCTCCTTTATCGTTTCCATGGCAACCGCCAGCGATTTTTGGGAAGCGGAAAATCCCCCCTTTTGTCGTTTCCATGGTGACCGCCGCCATTTTGAAAACGGGCAGGTCTCGGGGGTTTCCATGGCGACCACCGCCATTTTGAAAGCGGGCAGGTCTCGGGGTTTCCATGGCAACCGCCGCCATTTTGCGACACCCTTTTTTTTTTTTTAAGGGGGAAAAAAACACCGATTTTGGGGGGGATTTCCCCCATTTTTCAGGGTCACCTCTCTCTGGGGTTCCCCCCCTAACTCCCTCCCTGGCCCCAAATCACGCACAGGAGCCCGGGAGGGGCAGGGGGAGCTCAGCAAAGGATTTTAATCGGCCTCTAAGCAGCAGGGGTGGGGGCTGAGGGGTTTTTGGGGGGGCTCGTGAGGGGGATTTTGGGGGTTTCCTCCCCCATCCTCCCCAACCATTAAAAATCTACTTCTCCTCCTCCTCCCCGGCGGTTTTGGGGTTCGGGGTCAGCTTTGGGGGCACCTGAGGGGACAAAAAGTGGGGTGGGAGGGGATTAGTGCCTCAAACCCCCAAAATCCCTCCCTCCCCTTAATTTGGGAACCCTCCCACCCACCCCCAGCACCTTTTGGGCTTTCCCCCTCCCGAAAAAACAGGGAACCTCCCCTCCCCCTCTTAGATTTGGGGTCCTCCCCTCATCCCAAGACACCCCAACCCCCAAATTTTGAGATCCCCCACCTCAATCCCCCAATTTTGAGGTCTCTTCACCTCAATTCTCCCCCAAATTTTAGGGTCTTCTCACCTCAATCCCCCAATTTTGGGGTCCCCCACCTCAATCTCCCCCAATTTTTAGGGTCTCCTCACCTCAATCCCCCCAATTTTGGGGTCCCCCACCTCAATCCCCCCAATTTTTGAGTCTCCTCACCCCAAGACCCCCAATTTTGGGGTCCCCCACCTCAATCCCCCTAAATTTTAGGGTCTCCTCACCTCAATCTCCCCCAATTTTTAGGATCTCCTCACCATAAGACCCCCCAAATTTGGGGTCTCTTCACCCCCCCCCCATTTTTGAGGTCCCCTCACCCCAAATTTGGGGTCCCCCCCCCGCCCTCACCTCCCCTCCTCCTCCATCCCGGTTTTCAGGCTCTTTGGGGGGTTCCGACCCCCCCATTTCCTCTTCTTCCTCCTCCTCCTCCTCCTCTTCCTCCTCCTCCCCCCTCAGTTTCGAGGGGGGATTTTTGGGGGTCCGGCCCCGCCCGCACGCCCGGCACTGGGAATTCTCACCCAAAATTGGGGAATTTCTGCCCAAAACTGAGGAATTCCCGCCGGAAATCGAGGAATTCCCACCCAAAATTGGGGGATTACCACTCAAAATTGGGGAATTCCCAGCAGAAATCGAGGAATTCCCACCCAAAAGTGAGGAATTCCATCAAATTGGGGAATTTCTGCCCAAAATGGAGGAATTTCCGCCCAAAACTGAGGAATTCCCAGCAGAAATCGAGGAATCCCCGCCCAAAATTTGGGAATTCCCGCCGGGACCGGGGGAATCCTGGCGGGTGGGGGAGGGGCATTGGGGCCGGAATTCCAACTTCTCCACCAGCTCCTGGAGCTTGGAGGTCTCGGAGCCCGCAGGATCCCGGGATTTGGGGCTGTTCCGGGGCCGTGGGCGGGGCGGGGGAGGGCGTTCTCGTCGCCCGGGGAGGGGCTTGGGGAAGGTGGGCGTGGCCATGGGTGGGGTGGGTGTGGCCGCCTGGGGGGGGTCGGTGATGACCTGTGGGGGGGGACACGGAAGTGCTTGGACCCCATGACCCCCACCTTGACCCCATGACCCCAACCTTGACCCATTGACCCCAACCTTGACCCATTGACCCCCCAATGACCCTTAGACCTCCAACTTTGACCCATTGACCCCCAACCTCAACCCATTGACCCCCAACCATGACCCATTGACCCCCAATGACCCATTGACCCCCCAATGACCCATTGACCCCCCAGTGACCCATTGACCCCCCTATAGACCCATTGACCCCCCAATGAACCCTTGACCCCCACATGACCCATTGACCCTCCAATGACCCATTGACCACCCAATGACCCATTGATCACCCATTGACCCATTGACCCCCCAATGACCCATTGACCCAACCTTGACCCATTGACCCCCAACCTTGACCCATTGACCCCAACCTTGACCCATTGACCCCCCAATGACCCATTGACCCCCAATGACCCATTGACCCTCCCAATGTCCCGTTGACCCCCAACCTTGACCCACTGACCCCCAACCTTGACCTGTTGACCCCTCCAATGTCCCATTGACCCAACCTTGACCCACTGACCCCCCAATGGCCCATTGACCCCCCAATGAACCCTTGACCCCCACATGACCCATTGACCCCTCAATGACCCATTGACCCCCAATGATCCTTAGACCCCCAACCTTGACCTGTTGACCCCCCAATATCCCATTGACCTCCAACCATGACCCATTGACCCCCCAATGACCCACTGACCCCCACCGTTGACCCACTGATGCCCCAATGACCCATTGACCCAACCTTGATCCATTGACCTCCCACCTCAACCCATTGACCCCCAGCCATGACCCATTGACCCCCCAATGAACCATTGACCCCCCAATGACCCATTGACCCCCCAATGACCCATTGACCCTCCAATGACCCAATGACCACCCAATGACCCCTTGACCTCCAACCTTGGCCTGTTGACCCCCAACCTCAACCCATTGATCCCCCAATGACCCTTAGACCTCCAACCTTGACCCATTGACCCCCCAATGACCCAATGACCCCCAACCTTGACCCATTGACCACCAACCTTGACCCACTGCCCCCCAATGACCCAGTGACCCCCATCTTGACCCATTGACCCCCAACCTTGACCTGTTGACCCCTCCAATGTCCCATTGACCCAACCTTGACCCATTGACCCCCAAGACCCACTGACCCCCAACCTTGACCCACTGACCCCAATGACCCATTGACCCAACCTTGACCCATTGACCCCCAACCTCAACCCACTGACCCGAACCTTGACCCATTGACCCCCCAATGTCCCATTGACCCCCCAATGACCCATTGACCCCAACCTTGACCCATTGACCCCCAACCTTGACCCACTGACCCCCAATGACCCACTGACCCCAACCTTGACCCATTGACCCCCAATGACCCACTGACCCCCAACCTTGACCCATTGACCCCCCAATGACCTATTGGCCCCCAACCTTGACCCATTGACCCCCCAACGACCCACAGACCCCCCCAATGACCCCCCACTCACCTCCACCGCGCCCTCCCGCGGCCCGGCCGGCCCCCTCTGCCGGTGGCGCCGCAGGTGCACCTTGAGGTTGCCGCGGGTGGTGAAGCGGCCGCCGCAGAGGTCGCAGCGGAAGGGCCGCTCGCCGGTGTGGGAGCGCAGGTGGATCTGCCGCGCGCTGGCGCTGCCGAAGGGCTTCCCGCAGAACCCGCAGCCGTGCCGCGAGGGGGAGCCCAGAGGGGGGCCCAGTGATGGGGGAGAACCCAACGGGGGCCCAACGATGATGCTGAACCCAACGGGGGACCCAACGATGGTGGAGAACCCAACGTTGAACTCAACGATGGTGGAGAACCCAACGTTGGACCCAACGATGATGCTGAACCCAACGATGGTGGAGAACCCAACGTTGGACCCAACGACGACGCCGAACCCAACGATGACGTCGTTGAGCCCAACGAAGACCCTGAACCCAAGTTTGGACCCAACGTTGACGTTGGACCCAACATTGGGCCCAACGTTGACGTTGAACCCAAGTTTGGGCCCAATGAAGACCCCGACCCCAACGTTGGGCCCAACAAAGACCCCGAACCCAATGTTGGGCCCAACGAAGACTTTGGACTCAACGCCGAGCCCGACGAAGACCCCGAACCCAACGCTGGGCCCAATGAAGACCCCGAACCCAACGCCGAGCCCAATGAAGACTTTGGACCCAACGTTGAGCCCGACGATGACGCCGAACCCAACGAAGACCCCGAGCCCAACTTCGGGCCCGACGAAGACCCCGCCCCCGGTGCTGAGCCCGACAAACCCGGCACCGCTCCCAAGGCAGACGCCGATCCCAGCACCGAGACGGGGCCCAGCGTGGACGCCAAGGCCACGGCGATGCCGGAGCGCGCCGGCGCCGCCGGTTTGGCGAAGGGGGGGAGGAGCAGGAAGCGGGCGGCCCCCGGGTTGGGGGTTTGTGGGGAGGCTGGGAGTGCAGGGCCCCCAGGAGCAGCAGCTGGCGGCAGATGTCCTGGGTCAGCTGCATCTGGAGCAGCTGGCGCTGCCGAGCTGCCGCAGCTCCTCCAGGATCAGCCGCAGCTCGGGCGGGGCCGGCGGGGAGGGGCGGGCGGGGAGGGGAGGGGGCCATGGGGGAGGGCGGGAGGGGCGGCTGGGGGAGAGAAAGAGAGAGAGAGAGAAAAATGAGAGATGTTAGGGGTTTGAGTGCCTCGAAATCGGGGTTATTCGCCCCAAAATCGGGGTTATTCGTCCCAAAATTGGGGTTATTCGCTCCCAAATTGGGGTTATTCGCTCCCAAATTGGGGTTATTCGCCCCAAAATTGGGGTTATTTGCTCCCAAATTGGGGTTGTTCATCCCAAAATTATTATTACCCCAAAAATTGTCATTATTTACCCCAAAATTTGAGATTTTCATCCCCAAATTGGGGTTGTTCATCCCAAAATTATCATTACCCCCAAAATTCTCGTTATTTGCCCCAAAATTTGAGTTTTTCATCCCCAAATTGGGGGTGTTCATCCCAAAATTATCATTACCCCCAAAATTGGGGTTATTCGCCCCAAAATTGGGGTTGTTCATCCCAAAATTGGGGTTGTTCACCCCAAAATTATCATTACCCCCAAAATTGGGGTTATTCGCCCCAAAATTGGGGCTGTTCATCCCAAAATCGGGGTTATTCGCCCCAAAATTGGGGTTATTTGCTCCCAAATTGGGGTTGTTCATCCCAAAATTATCATTACCCCAAAAATTGTCGTTATTTGCCCCGAAATTCGGGTTATTCATCCCCAAATTGGGGTTATTTATCCCAAAATTGGAGTTTTTCATCCCAAATTTGGGGGTGTTCATCCCAAAATTATCATTACCCCAAAAATTCTCGTTATTCGCCCCAAAATTTGAGATTTTCATCCCAAAATTACAGTTGATCATGCCATAATTATAATTACCCCAAAAATTGTTGTTATTCGCCCCAAAATTGGAGTTTTTCATCCCCAAACCGGGTTTTTCATCCCAAAATTGGGGTTATTCCCCCCGAAATTGGGGCTGTTCATCCCAAAATTGGGGTTATTCTTCCCAAAATCGGGGTTATTCACCCCAAAATTGGGGTTATTCACCCCAAAATTATCATTACCCACCCAAAACTTGTCGTTATTTTCACCCCCAAAATTGCAGTTCTCACCCCAGCTCATTTGTCACCCCAAAATTACCATTCTTCACCCCAAAATGAGTGTTTTTACCCCAAAACTGGAGTTATTCACCCCAAAATTGTAATTACTCAACCTTTTCCCTCCAAAGCCCCTTTTCCCCCAAAAAATATCCCCCTTTTTCACACCCAAAATCCCTTTTTTTCCCCAAAAAAGATCTCCTTTTTCCCCCAAAATCCCCTTTCCCCCCAAAAAAATCCATTTTTTACCCCCAAAAAACCCTTCCCCCCAAAAGCCCCTTTTCCCCTCAAAAAATCCTTTTTTCCCTAAAATCCATTTTTCCCCCAAAAATCCCTTTCTCCCCAAAAATCCCTTTTTCCCCCAAAAATCCCTTTTTCCCCAAAAACCATCCTTTTCCCCCAAAATTCCTATTTTCCCTAAAATCCACATTTTTACCCCCAAAAATTCCTTTCTCCCCAAAAAATCCTTTTTCCCCCAAAAATCCTTTTCCCCCAAAAATCCCTTTTTCCCCCAAAATTCCTATTTTTCCCTAAAATCCCATTTTTACCCCCAAAAATCCCTTTTCCCCCAAAAAATCCTTTTTCCCCCAAAAATCCCTTTTTCCCCCAAAAATCCTTTTTCCCCAAAAAATTCCTATTTTCCCTAAAATCCATTTTTTCCCCAAAAATCCTTTTCCCCCAAAAAATCCCTTTTCCCCCAAAATCCTTTTTCCCCCAAAAATATCCTTTTTCCCCAAAAATATCCTTTTTCCCCCAAAAATCCCTTTTCCCCCAAAAATACCCTTTCTCCCAAAAATCCTTTTTCCCCAAAAAATCCTTTTCCCCAAAAAATCCCTTTTTCATCCCCCAAAAATCCTTTCCCCCAAAAAATCCTTTTTCCCCAAAAATCTCCTTTTCCCCCAAAATCCTTTTTCCCCAAAAATCTCCTTTTCCCCCAAAAATCCTTTTCCCCCAAAAATCCCTTTTTCCCCAAAAATCCTTTTTTCCCCAAAAATCCCTTTCTCCCCCAAAAATCCCTTTTTCCCCCAAAAATCCCTTTTTCCCCAAAAAATCCTTTTTCCCCAAAAATCTCTTTTCCCCCAAAAATCCCATTTTTCCCCCAAAAATCCCTTTTCCACCCCAAAAATCCCCACTTTTTCCCCAAAAATCCCTTTTCTCCCCAAAAATTCCCTTTTTCCCCCAAAAATCCATTTTCCCCAAAAATCCCATTTTTCCCCAAAACATCCCTTTTTCCCCAAAAATTCCTTTTCCCCCAAAATCCCATTTTCCCCCAAAAATCCCTTTTTCCCCCAAAAATCCCTTTTCCTCCAAAAATCCTCTTTTCCCCCAAAATCCCATTTTCCCCCAAAAAATCCCTTTTCAGCCCCAAAATCCCCACATTTTTCCCCTAAAAATCCCCATTTTCCCCTAAAATCCCATTTTCCCCCAAAATTCCCTTTTCAGCCCCAAAATCCCACATTTTCCCCTAAAATCCCTATTTTCCCCCAAAATTCCTTTTCCCTCTAAAATCCCATTTTCCCTCAAAATCCCCATTTTTCCCTAAAATCCCTTTTCCCCAAAATCCCCTTTTCACCCCAAAATCCCACATTTTTCCCCCAAAAATCCCCTTTTCCCCCAAAAATTCCCTTTTCAGCCCCAAAATCCCCACATTTTCCCCTAAAAATCCCCATTTTCCCCTAAAAATCCCCATTTTTCCCAAAAATCCCCATTTTCCACTTCCCAAAATCCCCAGTTTTCCCCAAAATCCCTTTTCTACCCCTAAAATCCCCATTTTTTCCCTAAAAATCCCCATTTCCCTCCGCCCCAAAATCCCCACATTTTCCCCCAAAATCCCCATTTTCCCCTAAAAATCCCACATTTTTCCCCTAAACATCCCCATTTTCCCCTAAAATCCCCATTTTCCCCCAAAAATCCCCATTTTCTACCCTCAAAATCCCATTTTTTCCCTAAAAATCCCCATTTTTCCCCTCAAAAAATCCTTTTCACCTAAAATCCCACATTTTCCCCTAAAAATCCCCATTTCCCCCAAAAAATCCTTTTCTGCCCCAAAATCCCCATTTTCCGATCCCAAACCTCCATTTTACCCCAAAAATCCCTTTTTCCCCTAAAAATCCCCATTTTCCCCCTTTTCGCCCCAAAAGCCGCACATTTTCCCCTCAAAACCCCGTTTTCACCCAAAATTCCCCTTTTCCTTCCTCCTCCCCGGCGCTTTTTGGGGTGAATTCGAGGGGCTTCGGGTCCTTTTCTCACCTCCGGGCTCGGTCATCGCTCCCCTCCCCCTCCCCCAAAAGGGAGGGTCGGAAAGTGACGTCACGGCGGGGAGGGGCGCTCCTGTCGCGACAGGGGTGACGTCACCGGGAGGGAGGGGGCGGAAAGGGGATTTTGGGGGGATTTGGGGAATTTTGGGGTCCCGAGGGGATTTTGGGGGGTCCTGAGGGTTTTGGGGGTCCCTGAGGGTTTTGGGAAGGTCCTGAGGGGATTTGGGGAAGAGTTTGGGGTCCCTGAGAGGATTTTGGGGTCCCTGAGGATTTTGGGGGTCCCTGAGGGATTTTGGGGTCCCTGGGGGGATTTGGGGAGGATTTTGGGGTCCCTGAGGGATTTTGGGGGGTCCCTGAGGATTTGGGGAGAAATTTGGGGGTCCCTGAGGGATTTGGGGAGGACTTTGGGGGTCCCTGGGGAGATTTTGGGGGGATTTTGGGGGATTTTGGGGGTCCCTGAGGGAATTTTGGGGGTCCCGGGGGGGATTTGGGGAAAAAAATAAATAAATAAATCCGGTTTTTTAAATTATTTGATTCGATTTTATTTGATTTTATTTCTTTGCTTCATTGGGTTTATAAATTAAAAAAATAATAAATATATAAAATATATAAAATATATAAAAAATAAATATATAAATGTTAAAAAAGTTATTATTTAATAAAAAAGATAAATATATAAATGTTACCAAAAAAAGAGTAATTTTTTTAAAAAAAGATAAATATATAAATGTTAAAAAAGTAATTATTTTTAAAAAAATATATAAATACGTATTAAAAAAGAGTAATTATTAAAAAAAGACAAATATATAAATGTTACCAAAAAAAAGTAATTATTTAAAAAAAAAGACATAGATATATAAATGTTACAAAAAAAATTATTTCTTTTTCACGAATTAATTAAAAGGAGTTTTAATTCATTGCCTTTAATTACCTTTGTTGGACCTCCAATAAACTTTATTTTAAACTTCAAATAAACTTTATTAAACTTCAAATAAAAAAAAAATTTCAAATTAAAAAACAATTCTCTATTAAAATATTAGTATTTCAATCATTTATAACGATATAAATAATTTAAAGATGTTATTTCTTTAAATAATGGCATTTAAATAAATTCTTTAAATTATATAATTCATGTTTTTGTATTGTGTATTAATTTTTATTATGTTCATTAATATTTAATAATTAATAATTAATAATTAATAATTTCTAATAATATGTTGTCTAATATATTGATTATTGTTAATATTTTATATTAATTGTCATTAATAATAGTAATTTTTATATTTTATATAATATTTTATTTATATTTTATTTATTGTTAATACTATTATATAGCATTAGTAATTCTTAACATTATATTTTATATTATATTATATTATATTATATTATATTATATTATATTATATTATATTATATATTAAGCTATGTATTATATATTATAAATTTTATATTATATATTTTATATTTTATATTATTATTTCTAATTTTATATTAATAAATAATATATTTTTCTATTTTTAAAATATTAGTAATAACATTTCTATATTTACATAAATAAAAAAACACATATTTTATATTTATATAAAATTTTATATATTTTAATAACAATTATTAATTTCTATATTTAATTAATTTCTATATTTTATATTAATTTTCATAGTTATTTTAATTCCTTTTATTATGTTTATATTAATAAGTTAAAATAATGGGATTTTCTATACATTAAAATATAAAATAGATTTACTATATATAAAAATGTAATATATCAAAGATAAATCAATTAATTCTAATTAATTTATATTATATTTCTATCAATTAAAATAACATTATTTTACCATATGTTGAAATTCCAAGAAACAAATAAATATTAATTTAATTTAATAATTTTAATTATAATTATAATTTTAATTAATTTAATTTTAATTTAATACTTTAATTACTTCATGTATTTATTTTAATTAAAATAATATACAATATATACAAGAACTCCCAATAAAACATTTTAATTAATTTCCATTACATTTCTATTATTTAATTATAAAAAAATTTATTGCACAATAAAATTCTGAATAAAAAAATGAACAATTGTAATGAAAATAATTAAATATAATTAAATTAAAAATAATAAACAATGAAATTATTAAAAAAGAATAAATAACGAAAATAAATAAAAATCGAAAACAATTCTGAAATAAAACATGAAATTCAATTAATTTTATAATTAAATTGAATTAATTTTAATTAAATTAAATTAAAGCGTTGAGAAACGATGAAGAAAAGAACATGAATTAAATTTAAAAAATATTAAAGAAGAAAATAAAAAACGGAGTTAAAGAAATTAAAGAATTAAAGTGAATTAAAATAAATGTAGTTTATATATCATGACCTATTTTTTTAATATAAAATATTAAAAGTGTATTTTAAAATATAACTAAAAATCCTAGGAAATAATAACAATTTTAAAAATAATAATGATTTTAATGATTTTTAATTGGAATTATTAAAATAATTAAACTAACCCAAAGTCGATTAAAATTGAAAATTCGATTAAAAATAAGAATTTAATTAAATTTTAATTATTTCTTATCGATAATAATTAAAATAAATAATGTTTAATACTTCTCAGAAATATTAATAAGAAAATAAATTATAAGAATTTAATTAAATTTTAATTATTTCTTATCAATAATAATTAAAATAAATAATGTTTAATACTTCTCAGAAATATTAATAAGAAAATAAAAATAATTCATATTAAATTATAATTAAATAATTTACAATAAGAAAGAAATATAAATATAAGAAGTAAATAATAATTTAAAATAATAATAAAGTAATTTAATGTGAATAATAATTTTAAACAATAATTAAATAGTACAACTAAATAAAAATTAAAAAATATATTTAATTACTAACACTAAAAGTAATTAAATAACTTTTAAATGATAATTACCAACCATCAAACAATAAAATAAATAATAAAAATAAGAGATAAAAATAGTGAAAATAATAAACCCCAAAGATAAATCCCAATAAAACTTAAGAATTAAATTATTCAGAACAATATAAATTATTAAAAGTTAAAGTAATAATTAAATTTACTATAAATAAAATTAATAAAATATAACTATAAAAAGTTTCACTATATAAAACAAAATAAATATAATTTTAAAAGTCAATATATATAAATAAAATATCACTAAAATAAATAACATTCAGTAACAATAAATAAAATATAAAGATAAAGGAATAAAATTCTGTATTAAAAATATAAAATGAAAATATAACTTCACATAAATAAAATTCGTTATAAATAAAATGAAATAACATAAAATAACATAAAATTAAAATAAAATAAAACTACAAATAAATAAAATAAAATAACATAAAATAAAATAAAATTAAACTACAAATAAATAAAATAAAATCCGATATAAATTAATAAAATCTGGTTAACAGTAAATAAAAAAAATAAAATAAATGGAAAGTAAAATAAATAAAATCTAATATAAAAAATTATAAAAATAAAAATATAAAAAAATTTAACTGTTAATAAATAAAATTCTAATAAAATTCCGTATAAATAAAAGAAAATTTAATTAGAAATAAATAAAATCCAATATAAATTAATAAAATATTGCCAGCAATTAATAAAATCCAGTATAAATAAATAAAATCCAAATAAATAAAATCCAACATTAAAAAAATTTTGTTATTAAATAAAATTCAAATAAAATTCCATAGAAATAAAACACAACTAACTACAAATAAAATTCGATATAAATAAAATATAATTATAAATTAAAAAATAACTATAAATAAATAAAATTTTATATAAATAAAATATAATTGAAAATAAAAATATAACTATAAATAAATAAAATCCAATATAAATAAAATGTAATTATAAATAAAAATATAACTATAAGCAAATAAAATTTGATAAAAATAAAATATAATTATAAATTTAAAATATAACTATAAATTAAATAAAATCCAATATAAAGAAATTATAAATAAAAAATACAACTATAAATAAATAAAATTCAATATAAATAAATTATAAATAAAAACTACAGGTATAAATTTAAAAATCAATATAAATAAAATATATTTATAAATAAAAAGTATAATTATAAATTAAAAAATCAATAGACATAAAATATAATTATAAATTTAAAATATAGCTATAAATAAATAAAAAATTCAATATAAATAAAATACAATTATAAATAAAAATATAACTATAAATAAATAAAATTCAATATAAATAAAATATAATTAAAAAATATAATTATAAATTAAAAAATCAATAGAAATAAAATATAATTATAAATAAAAAATACAACTATAAATAAAAAAAATCCTATATAAATAAAATACAACCATAAATTAAATTCAAAAATCGATCTAAACCAACAATTAAATTATTAATAATTAAAAATAACGAAGCATTAAATTAATAATAATTAAAAATAACGAAGCTCCTCAGGACGAGGAGTCCCCAAAATGCCCCAAAATGCCCCAAAATGCCCCAAAATGACCCAAAATGACCCAAACCGGGCCCTTTTCCCCCCATTTTCCTCCCCCAGGCCCCGCCCCTTTTGGAGTTGACTCCGCCCCTTTGGAGTTGACCCCGCCCCTTTTTGTTGGCCCCGCCCCTTTCGGGACTTCCCACCGGGTCCCGAGAGCTCCGGAAAGCCCCAAAAACCCCAAAACCGCCTTTTGGCCCAAAACACTCTCAGGGGTTATTTTTTCCTGCAGCTGCTGCTTTCGGGAACCCCTCCCCCCCCACCCCAAGGGAGATTTGGGGCCAAAAAGCCGAGATTTGGGGCAGAAATAAAAAAAATAAAAAAAAGGGGGAAAGGGGGAGATTTTGGGGAGGAAACTTCGAGGGATTTTTTTGGGGGGGGGGAGGAATTGGGTCCCGAAATTGGGGTGGTTTGACCCAAAATCTCAATGCTTGACCCCAAATCTCAACCATTGACCCCAAATCTCAACCCTTGACCCCAAATCTCAAGCCTTGACCTCAAATCTCAACTCCTGACCCCAAATCTCAGCCATTGACTCCAAATCTCAATCATTGACCCCAAATCTCAACCATTGACCCAGATCTTCATTGTTGACCCCAAATCTCAACTCCTGACCCCAAATCTCAACCATTGACCCCAAATCTCGACCCTTGACCCCAAATCTCGACCATTGACCCCAAATCTCAACCATTCACCCCAAATCTCAGCCACTGACCCCAAATCTCAACCATTGACCCCAAATCTCAACAATAACCTCAAATCTCAGTCCTTGACCCCAAATCTCAACCATTGACCCCAAACCTCAGCCATTGACCCCAAATATCAACAATAACCTCAAATCTCAGTCCTTGACCCCAAATCTCAACCACTGACCCAAAATCTCCACCATTGACCCCAACCTCAACCCTTGACCCCAAATCTCAACCCTAGACCCCAAATATCAACCACTGACCCCAAATCTCCACCATTGACCCCAAATATCAACCACTGACCCCAAATCTCAACCATTGACCCCAACCTCAACCCTTGACCCCAAATCTCAGTCATTGACCCCAAATCTCAACCATTGACTCAAATCTCAACCCTTGACCCCAAATCTCAGTCATTGACCCCAAAAATCAAACATCGACACCAAATCTCAAACCTTGACCCCAAATCTTGATCGTTGACCCTCAAATCTCAACCACTGACCCCAAATCTCGGCCATTGACCCCAAATCTCAACCATGGACCCCAAATCTCAACCATGGACCCCAAATCTCAGCCTTTGACCCCAAATCTCAACCATTGACACCAAATCTCAACCGCTGACCCACGTCTTCATTGTTGACCCAAATCTCAACTCCTGACCCCAAATCTCAACACTTGACCCCAAATCTCAATTCTTGACCCCAAATCTCAACCATTGTCCCAGATCTTGATTGTTGACCCAAATCCCAAGCATTGACCCCCAATCTCTACCTGGGGATCCCGTACCGCCCCTTCGGCTTCACATTCGGCAACTACGGCATGGACTGGGTGCGCCAGAGCCCCGGGAAGGGGCTGGAATTCGTTGCTGGGATCCAAAATGATGGTGGTTACACCAGGTACGCGCCGTCGGTGCAGGGCCGGTTCAGCATCAGCAGGGACAACGGGCAGAGCTCGGTGACGCTGCAGATGAACAACCTCAGGGACGAGGATTCCCCCACCTATTTCTGCACCAAGGATTATTATGCTGGTCCTGGTGGTTGGGGTTTTGCCGGTGGTCGAGATTTGGGATGAACGGTTGAGATTTTTAGTCAACGGCTCTGAGATTTGGGGGTCAGCAGTTTGTGATTTGGGGTCACTGGTTGGGATTTGGGGTCAACAGTCAATGGCTCACATTTTTGGGCCAATGGTTGGGATTTGGAATCAGTGGTTGTGATTTGGGGTCAATGGTTGAGATTTTGGGTCAACAGTTGAGATTTGGGGTCAGTGGTTGAGATTTGGGGTCAAGGGTTGAGATTTGGGGTCAACAGTCAATGGCTCACATTTTTGGGTCAATGGTTGAGATTTTGGGTCAACAGTTGAGATTTGGGATCAATGGCCAAGATTTGGGGTCAAGGGTTGAGATTTGGGATCAATGGCTGAGATTTGGGGTCAATGCCCAAGATTTGGGGTCAATGGCTGAGATTTTGGGCTCAGTGGCTGAGATTTGGGTCAATGGCCAAGAATTGGGGTCAAGGGTCGAGATTTGTCCAGGGGGCTCTGGACTCCCCCAGCACCGCCCCGGTTGTAGCCGGAATAGACGCTCTTGGCGCAGAAATAGGTGGGGGAATCCTCGTCCCTGAGGTTGTTCATCTGCAGCGTCACCGAGCTCTGCCCGTTGTCCCTGCTGATGCTGAACCGGCCCTGCACCGACGGCGCGTAGAAGGTGCTGGAACCACCATCCTTGCTGATCCCAGCGAGCCATTCCAGCCCCTTCCCGGGGCTCTGGCGCACCCAGTTCATGGGGTAGTTGGTGAATGTGGTTGTTGCTCCCGACCTTGGGCTGGTTTGGCCCCAAATTCCCCACCTGTGGCCCCAAACCCCAACTCTTTGTCCCAAATCTCAACCCTTGACCCCAAATCTCAATCAGTGACCCCAAAGATCAACCCTTGACCCAAACCTCACCCATTGACCCCAAATGTCAACCATTGACCCCAAATCTCAGCTTTTGACCCCAAATCTCAAGCCCTGACCCCAAATCTCAACCATTGACCCCAAATCTCAACCATTGACCCCAAATCTCAGTCACTGACCCCAAATCTCAGTCAGTGACCCCAAATCTCAACCATTGACCCCAAATCTCAACCCTTGACCCAGATCTTGATTGTTGACCCAAATCCCAACCATCGACCCCCAATCTCTGCCCCATTCAGTCCCTGCGGCTCCTCTGTCGCCCCTCCGGCTTCACATTCGGCGACCACGGAATGAGCTGGGTGCGCCAGAGCCCCGGGAAGGGGCTGGAATTCGTTGCTGGGATCAACAAGGGTGGTTCCAGTACTGCCTACGCGCCGTCGGTGCAGGGCCGGTTCAGCATCAGCAGGGACAACGGGCAGAGCTCGGTGACGCTGCAGATGAACAACCTCAGGGACGAGGATTCCGCCACCTATTTCTGCGCCAAGAGTGCTGGTACTGGTGGTGCTGATGATGCTGGTTGCATCTGACCCCTGTGTGGGGTCCTCAAACCTCCCCAGACCCCAAACCTTCACCCTTCCCACCCAGCTCTCGCTCGTTGGTCCCAACCTTGGGCTGGTTTGGCCCCAAATTCTCCCCCTTTGGACCCCAAACCCCAACTCTTTGTCCCAAATCTCAACCCTTGACCCCAAACCCCAACCATTGACCCAAAATTCTTCAACAGGTTAAAAGATTGGGCTCAACTGTTGAGATTTGGTGTCAATGGTTGAGATTTGGCGTCAACATCTGATGTTTGGCATCAACGGCTCAGATTGGGGTGGGAAGGGTGGAGGTTTGGGGGGAGGGTCTGGGGAGGTTTGGGGAGCCCACACAGGGGGTCGATGCCATCACCAGCACCACCCCAACCCGCAGCACCAAAATATTTGGCGCAGAAATAGGTGGCGGAATCCTCGTCCCTGAGGTTGTTCATCTGCAGCGTCACCGAGCTCTGCCCGTTGTCCCTGCTGATGCTGAACCGGCCCTGCACCGACGGCGCGTACCTGGTGGTACCACCATTGTAGCTGATCCCAGCGAGCCATTCCAGCCCCTTCCCGGGGCTCTGGCGCACCCACTGCATGGCGTAGTCGCCAAATGTGAAGCCGGAGGGGCTTCAGGGGTTTCCCCGGGGCAGAAATTGGGAGTCGATGGTTGAGATTTGGGGTCAACCGTTGAGATTTGGGTCAACAAGTCAAGATCTGGGTCAATGGTTGAGATTTGGGGTCAATGGTTGAGATTTCGGGTCAAGGGATGAGATTTGGGGTGAACAATCATGATTTGGGGTCAATGGTTTAGATTGGGGGTCAAGGGTTGAGATTTGGGGTCAAGGGTTGGGATTTGGGGTCAATGGCTGAGATTTGGGGTCAAGGGTCAAGATTTGGGGTCAAGGGTTGAGATTTGGGGTCAACAATGAAGATTTGTGTCAATGATTGAGATTTGGGGTCAATGATTGAGATTTGGAGTCAATGGCTGAGATTTGGGGTCAATGGTCAAGATTTTGGGTCAAGGTTTGAGATTTGAGGTCAATGGGCCATTCCCTCATTTCCCGCCATTTCCTGAGGGAATCCCCCCATTTCCTGTGTTAATTTCCCCCCCAAAATCCCGAATTTTCTTCCCAAAATCCCAAATTTTCCCCCAAAATCCTGATTTTTCCCCTCAAAATCCTGATTTTTCCCCAAAATTCCCCATTTTCCCCTAAAAATTCCCTTTTTCCCCAAAAATCCCATTTTTTTCCCCAAAAATCCCTTTTTTTCCCCAAAAATTACGCCCTCTGGTGGCCCCTCCCGGTCACTGCAATTAAAAAATTGGGTCTGCCCTTAATTAATTAATTAGGGGCAAATAATTAACCGTGGGGCTGTAATTAATTAATCAAACCATTAATTTTTTAATCAGTGCAATAATTCATAGGGGGAGCCACTTGTTATTAATTAATTAATTAATTAATTGGACACCTGCAGGTCAATCCCCTGGGGGGGAAGGGGGGGTGTCTCGGTTGGTTAATTAATTAAATAAATAATTGGACACCTGCAGGCAATCCCTGGGGACATCTCTCAGTTAATTAATTAATTAATTAATTAATTGGACACCTGCGAGTCGATTCCCCCCCCCCCCGAGACCTCACGGTTCATTAATTAACTTCAGAGTTGCAATTAAATCCCCTTTGAGCACTCCCTCGGTTAATTAATTAATTAATTGGACGCCTGGGGCTTGATGGTCCATTAATTAATTGATTAATTGATCAGTCCTGATGGGTTTATTCATTAATTAACAGGAAGCCTGTCATTAATCCCCCGGATTAATTGATGTGATTGACCCCGATTAATTAATTAGTTAAACCCATGTGATTAGTCCCCACTGATTGATTAATTAATTCAGGGGATGCCTGGGTGAATCCTGATTAATTATTAATTAATTAATTTGCCCCTGATTAATTTCAATGGATCAATCAATTAATTAATTAACTGGATGCCTGTGATTAATTCCCATTGATTGATTGGCCTCCCTGTGATTAACTCTGATTAATTCATTAAATGCTTGACTGATTAATTAATTGATTCCCTGGATGCCTGTGATTAACCCTTAATTAACTGAATACCTGACTAATTAATTAATTAATTAACAGGACACCTGTGATTAACCTCAATTGCCCCCTGATTAATTCCAGTGGACCAATTAATTAATAAGTTGCCTGCTATTAACCCCAATTAATTAAATACCTGTCTGACTAATTAATTAGTTAATTAATTATCAGGAAACATGTGATCAACCTCAATTGCCCCAATTAACTCCAAGGCACGAAGCAAATAATTAATTAATAGGAGGTCTGTGATTAACCCTAATTAATTAAATGCCTACCTGACTAAGTAATTAATCAATTAACAGTAAATGTGTGATTAACCCCAATTGCCCTGATTAATCCCAATGGACCAATTAATTAATAAATTGCCTGTGATTTTCCCTGATTAATTAACTAAATACCTGTAGAATCAATCAATTACTTAATTATTTAATTAATTGGAAACATGTGATCAACCTCAATTACCCCAATTAACCCCAAGGCAGGAAGCAAATAATTAATTAATAGAAGGCCTGTGATTAACCCTAATTAATTAAATACCTGCCTGACTAAGTAATTGATCAATTAACAGGAACCATGTGATTAACCGATTAATTAATTAATAAGTTGCCTGTGATCAACCCTAATTAACTGACTAATTAATTAATTGATTGATTGGCTAATTAATTAATTAATTGACTGACTAATTAATTAATTAATTGACAGACTAATTAATTAATTAATCAATCAACAGGATCGACCCCAACTGCCCAGCACCTGTTGATTAATTAACAGGAACCATGCGATTAACCGATTAATTAATCAATTAATAATAATAATTAATAATTAACTGAGTGCCTGATTAAGTAATTAACTAATCAATCAACAGGACTGACCCAACTGTCCCCAATCAACCCCAATTAATTAATTACAATTAACCACCAATTTCCCGCCAACGACCCCAATTTCCCGCCAAAACCCCCTTAAGCCCCACCCCTTTCCCTCACAAACCCCGCCCCCTCCTCACAAACCCCGCCCCCTCCCTTCAAGCCCCGCCCCTCCCGTGCCCCATAAAACCCCCGGGGTCCCTCCATTCCGGCACCTTCCGGCGGCTCCGCCATGGCCTCCTCATCATCCTCCTCCTCCTCCTTCCTGCCCTTCCTCCTCCTCCTCCTCGCCCTCCCAGGTAGGTCCTTACCCCTCAAAATCCTTGATCACCCCCCAAAAAACTTGGATAATCAGAATATTTAATTAATTTAATTTTTAACATTATTTTTAATCTTTAATCCGCGCAGGGCTGAGGGCGGCCGTGACCCTGACGGAGTCGGGCGGCGACCTCAAAGCCCCCGGGCAGTCGCTGACGCTCGTCTGCCGCGCCTCCGGCTTCACCTTCGGCGACTACGGCATGGGATGGGCGCGCCAGAGCCCCGGGAAGGGGCTGGAATGGCTCGCTGGGATCACCAAGAGTGGTGGTTCTGGCACCTTCTACGCGCCGTCGGTGCAGGGCCGGTTCAGCATCAGCAGGGACAACGGGCAGAGCTCGGTGACGCTGCAGATGAACAACCTCAGGGACGAGGATTCCGCCGCCTATTTCTGCGCCAGGGGTGCTCACGGTGGTGGTGGCGGGGTGGGGAGGGAGGGCAAAAAGCCACGGTGTTGTCTCAAGGGGGGTCGTGGTTGGGTGGGTTGAGTGGAGTTTGGAGTCGTGGTTGGGTGGGTTGATGATGGAGTGTAGTGGAGGTGGGGTTGTGGTTGGGTGGGTCAATGATGTCATCAGATGGGTCAATGACTCCATTGGGTGGATTGATTATGTCATCAGGTGGCTTGATGAAATCATCGGGTGGGTCATTGACTTGGGTGGGTCAATTATGTCATTGGGTGGGTCATTGACTTGGGTGGGTCAATGACATCATTGGGTGGGTCAATGACACCACTGGGTGGGTTGGTGACATGGTTGGGTCAATGACATCATTGGGTGGGTCAATGACACCACTGGGTGGGTTGTTGACATCAGTGGTTGGGTCAATAACATCATTGGGTGGGACAATGACATCATTGGGTGGGTCATTGACTTGGGTGGGTCAATGACATCATTGGGTGGGTCGATGACACCACTGGGTGGATTGGTGACATGGTTGGGTCAATGACATCATTGGGTCAATGACATCATTGGGTGGGTCATTGACTTGGGTGGGTGTGTCAATGACATCATCAGGCGGGTCAATGACACCATTGGGTGGGTCAATGACATCATTGGGTGGGTCGATGACAGCGTTGAGTGGAGTTGGAGTCGTGGTTCGGTGGGTTGATGACATCATTGGGTGGGTCAATGACATCATTGGGTGGGTCAATGACACCATTGGGTGGGTCGATGACATCATTGAGTGGGTCAATGACATCATTGGGTGGGTCAATGACAGCGTTGACTGGATTTGGGGTCGTGGTTCGGTGGGTCGATGATAGAGTTGAGTGGAGTTGGGGTCGCGGTTGGGTGGGTCAATGATGTCATCAGATGGGTCAATGACAGCATTGAGTGGAGTTGGGGTCATGGTTGGGTGTGTCGATGACATCATTGGGTGGGTCAATGACGCCATTGGGTCAGTGGTACCATTGGGTGGGTCAATGACACCGTTTGGTCAATGGTGTCATCGGGTGGGTCAATGACAATGTTGGGTCAATGACATCATTGGGTGGGTCAATGACACCGTTTGGTCAATGGTGTCATCGGGTGGGTCAATGACATCATTGGTTGGGTCAATGACACCATTGGGTGGGTCGATGACACCACTGGGTGGATTGGTGACATGGTTGGGTCAATGACATCACTGGGTGGGTCAATGACATCATTGGGTGGGTCATTGACTTGGGTGGGTCAATGACATCATTGGGTGGGTCAATGGTGGAGTTGAGTGGAGGTGGGGTCATGGTTGGGTGGGTTGATGATGGAGTTGAGTGGAGGTGGGGTCGTGGTTGGGTGGGTCGATGACATCATTGGGTGGGGCGGTGATGGGGTTGAGTGGAGTTGGGGTCATGGTTGGGTGGGTGAGTTACATCATTGGGTGGGTCAATGACACCATTGGGTGGGTCAATGACAGAGTTGGGTGGGTCAATGACAGAGTTGAGTGGAAGTGGGGTCATGGTTGGGTGGGTCGGTGATGGAGTTGAGTGGAGGTGGAGTCATGGTTGGGTGGGTCAATGACATCATTGGGTGGGTCAATGATGGCGTTCAGTGGAGTTGGTGACATGGCTGGGTCAATGACGTCATTGGGTGGGACAATGACATCATTGGGTGGGTCAGTGACACCGTTGGGTCAATAGCATCATCAGGTAGGTCAATGACATCATTGGGTGGGTCAATGACATCATTGGGTGGGTCAATGACATCATTGGGTGGGTCAATGGCAACGTTGACTGGATTTGGAGTCATGGTTGGGTGGGTCAATGACATCATTGGGTGGGTCAATGATGGCGTTCAGTGGAGTTGGTGACATGGCTGGGTCAATGACGTCATTGGGTGGGACAATGACATCATTGGGTGGGTCAATGACACCATTGGGTCAAGGGCATCATCAGGTAGGTCAATGACATCATTGGGTGGGTCAATGACATCATTGGGTGGGTCAATGACATCATTGGGTGGGTCAATCACGGAGTTGAGTGGAGGTGGGGTCATGGTTGGGTGGGTCAATGACATCATTGGGTGGGACAATGACATCATTGGGTGGGTCAATGACGGAGTTGAGTGGAGTTGGGAGTCATGGTTGGGTGGGTCAATGATGTCATCAGATGGGTCAATGACAGCATTGAGTGGAGTTGGGGTCATGGTTGGGTGGGTCATTGATTTCAGTGGGTTAATGACATCATTGGGTGGGTCAATGACATCATCAGGCGGGTCAATGACACCATTGGGTGGGTGAATGACATCATTGGGTGGGCCAATGACATCATTGGGTGGGTCAATGATGGCATTGAGTGGAGGTGGGGTCATGGTTGGGTGGGTCAATGACATCATTTGGTGGGTCAATGACATCATTGGGTGGGTCATTGACATCATTGGGTGGGTCAATGACGCCATTGTGTAGGTCAATGACATCATTGGGGGGGTGAATGACACCATTGGGTGGGTCAATGACATCATTGGGTGGGTTGTTGACTTTGGTGGGTCAATGACATCATTGGGTGGGTCAATGACATCATTGGGTGGGTCAATGACATCATTGGGTGGGTGAATGACATCATTGGGTGGGTCATTGACTTGGGTGGGTCTATGACATAATTGGGTGGGTTGATGATGTCATCAGGTGGATTGATGACATCGTTGGGTGGGTCATTGACTTGGGTGGGTCGATGACATCATTGGTTGGGTCAATGACATCATTGGGCGGATCGATGACATCATCAGATCAATGACCTCATCGGACGGCTCGATGACATCACTGGGTGGCAGTCTGAGACCCTCCCCCTTTTTTTTCCCCCCAATCCCAGCTCTTTTCCCCTTTTCCCCCATTTTTACCCCAAATCCCTCCTCATTTTCCCCTTTTCCCCAAAACTTCCCTAATTTTCCCATTTTCCCCCTTTTTCACCCCAAATCCGAGCCCGGGGGGGTTTTTGTCCCCTGTGATGTCACCGTGGCTGTTGCTGCTGGTGCTGCTGATGCTGCTGATCACGGTGACATTTTTGGGGACAAAAACTCCCTTTTCCTGCCCCTCCCCCCCTCCCCAGGGGACTCCTGGGCGACTTCCCTTTGGGCTCTTTTACCCCAAATTTCACATCTTTTTGGGCTTTTTTTACCCCAAATTTCACCTCTTTTTGGTCCATTTTGGACCCAAATTTTGGCCTCATTTTGGGATATTTTTCCCAAATTTCCCCCCAAATTTGACCTCATTTTGGGATATTTTTCCACCAATTCCCCCCCAAAATTTGGATTAATTTTGGGCTCTTTTTCCCCAATTTCCCTCAAATTTTTCCTAATTTTTGGGATATTTTTCCCCAATTTCCCCCCCAAAATTTGGCCTCATTTTGGGCTCTTTTTCCCAAATTTCCCCCTAAATTTGGTCTCATTTTGGGCTCTTTTTTCCCCAATTTCCCCCAAATTTGGCCTCATTTTGGGCTCTTTTTCCTCAATTTCCCCCCCAGATTTGCCCTCATTTTGAGATATTTTTCCACCAATTCTCCCCAAAATTTGGTCTCATTTTGGGACATTTTTCCCAAAATTTCCCCCCTAAATTTGGACTTTTTTCCATTTTTTAACCCAAATCAGGGCTGATTTTCCCTTTTTTTCCCCCATTTTCTCCTGTTTTGACCCCAAATCTTCCCCAAAATTTGGACTTTTTCTCCCATTTTTTAACCCAAATCCGGGCTGATTTTCCCTGGGTTTTTTTTCCCCATTTTCTCCTGTTTTGCCCCCAAATCTTCCCTAAAATTTGGACTTTTTCTCCCATTTTTTAACCCAATTTTTCCCCAGTTTTTTTTCCCATTTTCTCCTGTTTTGCCCCCAAATCTTCCCCAAAATTTGGACTTTTTCTCCCATTTTTTAACCCAAATCCAGGCTGATTTTCCCTGGTTTTTTTCCCATTTTCTCCAGTTTTGCCCCCAAAATTTGGGGAAGATTTGGGGTCAAAACAGGAGAAAATGGGGAAAAAAAAACGGGGAAAATTTGGGTTAAAAAATGGGAGAAAAAATCCAAATTTTGGGGAAGATTTGGAGCCAAAATGGGAAAAAAACAGGGAAAATTTGGACTTTTTCTCCCATTTTTTAACCCAAATTTTCCCCGTTTTTTTTTTTCCCGTTTTCTCCTGTTTTGACCCCAAATCTTTCCCCCTGGGGGGAGGTTTTTGTCCCCTGTGATGTCACCGTGGCCCTGCTGGTTGGGGTGCTGTTGCTGCCTATCACCGTGACATTTTTGGGGACAAAAACCTCCTTTTCCTGCCCCTCCCCCTCCCCGGGGGCAACTTCCCCTTTTTGGGTTCTTTTTACCCCAAATTTCACCTCTTTTTTCTCCCATTTTTCCCCCTTTTTTACCCATTTTTCCCCCCATTTTTCCCCAATTTTTCCCCCATTTTTTCTCTTTTTCCCCCTCTTTTTTCCTCCATTTTTCCCTTTTTCCCCCCAAATTTCCCCCCCATTTTTCCCCCAAATTTGGGGTCAATTTTACCCATTTCCCCCCATTTTTACCCCAAATCTGGACTCATTTTCTCATTTCCCCTCATTTTTACCCCAAATCTGGGTTGGTTTTCCCCCTTTTTTTCCTCTCATTTTCCCCCTTTTTTGCCCAATTTTTTCCCCATTTTTTCCCCTTTTTTCCCCTTTTTTCCCCCAAATTTTCCCCCCTTTTTTCCCCAAATTTTCTCCCCCTTTTTCTCCTTTCCCCCCCCCACTTTTTCCCCCCAAATCTGGGTTAATTTTCCCATTTTTCACCCATTTTTACCCAAATCTGGGTTAATTCCCCCCTTTTTTTCTCCCATTTGCCCCCCTTTTTCCCCCAATTTTCCCCCATTTTTTCCCTTTTTCCCCCCATTTTTTCCCTTTTTTTTTCCTTCATTTTTTCTCCCTTTTTTCCCCCAAATCTGGGGTCAATTTTACCCATTTTTCACCCATTTTTACCCCAAATCTGGGTTGGTTTTCCCCCTTTTTTCTCTCATTTTTCCCCCTTTTTTGCCCAAATTTTTCCCCCATTTCTTTCCCTTTTTTTCCCCAAATTTTCCCCATTTTCCCCAAATTTTCCCCATTTTTCCCCCATTTTTCCCCAAATTTTCCCCTTTTTACCCAAATTTTTCCCCCAGTTTTTCCCTTTTTCCCCTTTTTCCCTTTCCCCCATTTTTTCCCCAAATCTGGGTTAATTTTCCCATTTTCCCCCCAAATTTGGGTCAATTTTCCCATTTTCCCCCCAAATTTGGGTTAATTTTTCCCATTTTCCCCCCAAATTTTCCCATTTCCCCCCATTTTCCCCACAAATTTGGGTTAATTTCTCCCATTTCACCCGAAATTTGGGTTAATTTTCCCATTTTCCCCATTTCCCCAAATTTGTTAATTTTCCCATTTTCCCCCAAATTTTCCCATTTCCCCCCATTTTCCCCCCAAATTTGGGTTAATTTTCCCATTTTCCCCCCAAATTTGGGTAAATTTTCCCATTTTCCCCCATTTTCCCCCCAAATTTTCCCATTTTCCCCCCAAATCCCGACCCTTTTCCCCTCTCCCCCCCAAATTTGGGTTAATTTTCCCCCCAATCCGAGCTCCTCCCTCCTTTTTTCCCCTTTTTTTTGCATTTTTACCCAAATCCCGATTTTTAACCAAAATCGCCTTTTTTCACCCCAAAATCTCCCCCCGGGGGGGTTTTTGTCGGGGGGTCCCAGGGGTGTCGATGGCCGTGGTGGAATCGACGTGTGGGGGACCGGCACCATCGTCACCGTCTCGTCCGGTGAGTCCTGACCCAAAATGACCCAAAATCGCCTTTTTTTCACCCAAAATTTCCCTCCCCCCTCCCCGGGGGATTTTGGGGCCAAAAATGGGGATTTTGGGCAAGGTTTTGAAGGGGGGGAATCGCCCTTCGAGGTTGTTTTGGCGGGAAATCGATTTTTGGGGGGGTTGTTTTGGGGTGAAAAATCGGATTTTTGGTAAAAAATGTGGATTTTTGGTGAAAATCGGAATTTTTAGGAAGGTTAAAAATGTTGATTTTGGGGTAAATTTATGATGAGAAGTGAGGAAAATTAATCCAAGGGTAGGTTTGGGGTAAAAAAGTGGATTTTAGAGTGGTTTTTTTGGGGTGAAAAATCGGATTTTTGGTAAAAATGGGAATTTTTGGTGAAAATCTCAATTTTTAGAGGGTTAAAAATGTCAATTTTTGGGTAAATTTAAGATGAAAAGTGAGGAAAAATAATCCCAGGGTAGGTTTGGGGTAAAAAGTGGATTTTAGAGTGGTTTTTTTGGGGTGAAAAATTCGATTTTTGGTAAAAATGTGAATTTTTGGTGAAAATCTCAATTTTTAGGAGGGTTAAAAATGTCGATTTTTGGGTAAATTTAAGATGAAAAGTGAGGAAAAATAATCCTAGGGTAGGTTTGGGGTGGAAAAGTGGATTTTAGAGTGGTTTTTTGGGGTGAAAAATTCGATTTTTGGTAAAAATGTGAATTTTTGGTGAAAATTGGGATTTTTAGGAGGGTTAAAAATGACGATTTTTGGGTAAATTTAAGATGAAAAATAAGGGAAAATAATCCTAGGGTAGGTTTGGGGTGAAAAAGTGGATTTGAGAGTGGGTTTTTTGGGGTGAAAAATTCGATTTTTGGTAAAAATGTGAATTTTTGGTGAAAATTTGGATTTTTAGGAGGGTTAAAAATGTTGATTTTTGGGTAAATTTAAGATGAAAATGGAAGGAAAAATAATCCTAGGGTAGGTTTGGGGTGAAAAAGTGGATTTTAGAGTGGGTTTTTTGGGGTGAAAAATTCGATTTTTGGTAAAAATTGAAATTTTTGGTGAAATTTTGAATTTTTGGTGAAAATTTATGGGGTAAAAAGTCCAATTTTAGGGTTATTTTTTTTCAGGTGGATTTAAAAAGAAAAAGGGGAATTTGAGGGGTGGGTTTGGGGTGAAAAAATCCATTTTTGGGTCTTTTTTGGGTGAAAAATTGAGATTTTTAATGATTTTAATGATAAAAATATCAAATTTTAGGGTTTTTTTTAAGGGATAATTTAAAATTTGGGTGTAAAAAGTCGATTTTAGGGTAAAAATGAGAATTTGGGGAGATTTCAGGACAGTTTTTGGGGAAAAATGTCAGGGTTTGGGTCTTTTTTGGTGAAAAAAATCGATTTTTGGGGTGATTTAATGGTTAAAAAAATCAGATTTTTAGGGGTGTTTTTAAGGGGTGGTTGAAAATTTGGGGAGAAAAAGTCGATTTTAGGGTAAAAATGAGAATTTAAGGGCAGGTTTGGGGTAAAAAAATCCATTTTTGGGTCTTTTTTGGGTGAAAAATTGACATTTTGGGGGGATTTTAATGCTAAAAATATCAATTTTTGAAGGGATTATTTAAAATTTGGGGAGAAAAAAATCGATTTTAGGGGAAAAATGAGATTTTCAAGGCAGAGTTTTGGGGGGAAAATGGATTAAAAAATCGAGATTTATTTGAAAATAATTTAAACTGAAGAAAAATAATTTAAATTGAAGAAAATAATTTAAACTGAAGAAAAAATAATTTAAATTGAAAATAATAATTTAAATTAAAGAAAATAAATTAAAGAAAAAATAATTTAAATTGAAGAAAAATAATTTAAATTAAAAATAATTTAAGAAAATAATTTAAATTTAAGAAAAATAATTTAAATTGAAGAAAAATAATTTAAATTGAAGAAAATAATTTAAATTAAAAAAATTTAATTTAAAGAGAAAAATTAATTTAAATTAAAGAAAAATAAATTACAGAAAAAATAATTTAAATTAAAGAAAATAATTTAAATTAAAATAATTTAAATTTAAGAAAAATAAATTAAAGAAAAAATAATTTAAATTGAAAATAATTAAATCAAATTAAAAATAATTTAAAGTTAAAAATAATTTAAATTAAAGAAAAATAAATTTAAATTGAAGAGAAATTAATTTAAATTAAAAATAATTTAAATTAAAGAAAACATCTTTTAAAAAAATAATTTTTAAAAAACCCTTTTCCCCCCAAATTCGGGGCCAAAACAACCCCAAAAATAAAAATTAACCCAAAACCAAAAAGGGGAAGTTTGGCCCCAAAATAACCCGGAGGGAGTTTCGAAAATAACAGAAAAAATTAAAACAAAAAAATGTGGTTTTTTGGGGTGAAATTTCCCCTTTTTGGGACTCGAAAACAACACCTGGGGAGGGGTAAAAAATAAAAAAAAAGGAGATTTTTGGGGAAATGAGAATTAAAAAGAATTTTTGGGGTGGAAAAAAGGAGAAAAAAGTGGATTTTTGGGTAAAAATGTGATTTTTGGGGGTAAAAAATGTGATTTTTGGGGTAAAAAATGTGAATTTTTGGGGTAAAAAAATGTGATTTTTGGGGGAAAAAACGTGATTTTTGGGGTAAAAAATGAGATTTTTGGGTGTAAAAAATGTGATTTTTGGGGTAAAAAATGTGGATTTTTGGGGTAAAAAAACGTGATTTTTGGGGTAAAAAATGTGAATTTTGGGCGGATTTTTAGGGAGGAAAAGCGCGAATTTTTTAGGGTGAAAAAAGAGGGTTTTGGGTCAATCCGGGGTGGAATTTGGGGGGTTTTAATTGGGGTTTAATGGGGTTTTAATCAAGTTTTAATTGGTTTTTATGGGTTTTAAATCAGGTTTTGATGGGATTTTAAATCAATTTTTAATGAGGTTTTAATCAGGTTTTTATGGGGTTTTAATCCAATTTTAATGAGGTTTTTAATCGGGTTTTAATCATTTTTTAATCCATTTTTAATGGGGTTTTTAAATCAATTTTTATTCAGGTTTTAATTGGTTTTTAATCGGTTTTTATTCAGGTTTTAATCCAATTTTTAGTGGGGTTTTAATCCACTTTTAATGAGGTTTTTAATCGGGTTTTAATCATTTTTTAATCCATTTTTAATGGGTTTTTAAATCAATTTTTATTCAGGTTTTAAATCAGTTTTTAATGGGGTTTTAATCCAATTTTAATGAGGTTTTTAATCGGGTTTTAATCAGGTTTTAATCGGTTTTTAATGGGTTTTTAAATTAATTTTTATTCAGAGTTTAATTGGGTTTTAATCAATTTTTATTCAGTTTTTAAATGGTTTTTAATCAGTTTTTATTCAGTTTTTAATCCATTTTTAATGGGGTTTTAATCCAGTTTTAATGAGGTTTTTAATCGGGTTTTAATCAGTTTTTAATCCATTTTTAATCAGTTTTTAAATCAATTTTTATTCAGTTTTTAATTGGTTTTTAATCGGTTTTTAATCAGGTTTTAATCCATTTTTAATCGGTTTTTAAATCAATTTTTATTCAGGTTTTAATTGGTTTTTAATCAGTTTATTGGGTTAATAATCGATTTATTGATTGCTTTCTTGGGGGTTTAATCAGTTTATTGGGTTATTAATTGAGTTATTAATCAGTTTTCTGGGTTACTAATTGATTCATTAATTGGTTTGTTGGGTTATTAACCAGTTTATTGGTTTATTAATTAGTTTATTAATTGGCTTATTTGGGTTTTAATCGATTTATTAATTGGTTTATTAGGTTTTTAATAGATTTATTAATTGGTTTATTGGGTTATTAATCGGTTTATTAGTCGGTTTATTGGGTTATTAATTGATTCATTAATCGGTTTATTGGGTTTTTAATTGGTTTATTAATTGGTTTATTGGGTTATTAATTCATTCATTAATCGGTTTATTGGGTTTTAAATCGATTTATTAATTGGTTTATTGGGTTATTAATCAGTTTATTGGGTTATTAATTGATCTATTAATCAGTTTATTGGTCTTACTGGAACGTACTGGTCCGTACTGGTCTAGACTGGTTTATACTGGTTTATAGTGGTTTATACTGGTTTATACTGGTTATACTGGTCAGTACTGGTTTATACTGGTTTATACTGGTTATACTGCTCAGTACTGGTCAGTACTGGGTTGTACTGGGCTGTACTGGGCTGTACTGGTCTGTACTGGTCTGTACTGGTCAGTACTGGGCTGTACTGGTAAGTACTGGGCTGTACTCGGTTGTACTGGTCAGTACTGGTTTATACTGGTTATACTGGTCAGTACTGGGATGTACTGGTCAGTACTGGGCTGTACTGGTTTGTACTGGGCTGTACTGGTCAGTACTGGTCAGTACTGAGCTGTACTGGTTTATACTGGTCTGTACTGGTCAGTACTGGTTTGTACTGGGCTGTACTGGTCAGTACTGGTTTGTACTGGTCTGTACTGGGTTGTACTGGGATGTACTGGTCAGTACTGGTCAGTACTGGGCTGTACTGGTCAGTACTGGGCTGTACTGGTCAGTACTGGTCAGTACTGGGCTGTACTGGGTTGTACTGGGCTGTACTGGTCAGTACTGGGCTGTACTGGTTAGTACTGGTAAGTACTGGGCAGTACTGGGCTGTACTGGTCAGTACTGGTCAGTACTGGGCTGTACTGGTCAGTACTGGGCCGTACTGGGCTGTACTGGTCAGTACTGGGCTGTACTGGTCAGTACTGAGCTGTACTGGACCGTACTGGACTGTACTGGGCTGTACTGGTCAGTACTGGTCAGTACTGGTTTGTACTGGGCTGTACTGGTTAGTACTGGTCTGTACTGGTTTGTACTGGTCAGTACTGGGCTGTACTGGGCTGTACTGGTCTGTACTGGTCAGTACTGGTTAGCACTGGGCTGTACTGGTGTGTACTGGTCAGTACTGGGATGTACTGGTCAGTACTGGGCTGTACTGGGTTGTACTGGTCAGTACTGGGCTGTACTGGTCAGTACTGGGCTGTACTGGTCAGTACTGGGCTGTACTGGGCTGTACTGGTCAGTACTGGGCTATACTGGTCTGTACTGGGCTGTACTGGTCAGTACTGGGCTATACTGGTCTGTACTGGTTTGTACTGGTTTGTACTGGTTTATACTGGTCTGTACTGGTTTGTACTGGTTTGTACTGGTAATACTGGTTTATACTGGTCAGTACTGGTCAGTACTGGGTTGTACTGGGCTGTACTGGTTTGTACTGGTTAATACTGGTTCGTACTGGTTTATACTGGTCAGTACTGGTCTGGACTGGTTTATACTGGTCAGAACCCCAAAACCTCCCAATTTCACCCCAAAAAAGTGGAATTTTCACCCCAAAATTGCGAAAATCGCAAAAAATGTGAATTTTCACCCAAAAAATGTGAATTTTCACCCAAAAAATGTGAATTTTCACCCAAAATTGTGAATTTTCACCCAAAAAACCCACAGAATTTCTCAAAAATGGGGAGTTTTGACCCCAAAAATGTGGGTGGGATTTAAACCCCAAAAAACCCGAAATTCCCCCAAAAAATCCCGAAATTTCCCCAAAATCCCTCGATTTTCACCCAAATTGGTAAAATCCTCCAATTTCTCTAAAAACTCTCATTTTCACCCCAAAAAATGTCCCAAAAGGGGGAGTTTTGACCCCAAAACAGGCGGGGTGGGGCCTAAACCCCAAAAAACAACCGAATTCCCTCAAAAAACATCAATTTTCCCCAAAACCCTCAATTTTCCCCCAAAACCCTCGTTTTTCACCCAAATCTGAAAAATCCTCAAATTTCTCTAAAAACTCTCATTTTCACCCCAAAAAATGTCCCAAAAGGGGGAGTTTTGACCCCAAAACAGGCGGGGTGGGGCTAAGACCCCAAAAAACCATGAAATTCCCTAAAAAAACATCAATTTTCCCCAAAACTGTCGATTTTCACCCAAATCCAAAAAACCCTCAAATTCCGCTAAAAACTCAAATTTCCACCAAAATAATTTCCCTAAAATGGGGAGTTTTGACCCCAAAACAGGTGGGGTTGGGCCCAGACCCCAAAAAAACAACCCAATTCTCCCAATTTCCCCCAAAACCATCAATTTTTCCCCAAAACCATCAATTTTCACCCAAATAGAAAAACCCCTCAAATTTCGCTAAAAACTCAATTTTTCAGCAAAAAAAATTCTCCAAAATTTAAAGTGGGGAGGAAGGAGAAACCTTGACCCCAAGACAAACCCAAAACAACCCCAAAACAACCCCAAAACCCCCCAAAAAACCCCCACCAACCTCGCGTCAAAAAACGTCAATTTCCGCCTCGAAAAACCGCAAAAAACGGTAAAAACGCCCGTTTTTCGCCCGAATTTTGACCGTTTTTCCCCGTTTTTTTTTCCCCTGGCAGCCCAGGCCGGGCCCCCCCGGGTGTTCCCGCTGTCCCCCTGCGGCCCCCAGCCCCTTTTCTCGGTGGGCTGCCTGGCGGTGGGCGCGGTGCCGGCGGCGCCGTTGAGGTGGCGCTGGAGCGACGCCCTCAACCGGAGCTTGGGCGGGGTCGATTCCGGGGTGGGCGTGGCCCAGGGGGTGGGCGTGGCCTCCCGAGACCCCGCCCTGCTTTTCCTGGTGGCTTCCCGGCTGGAGGCGCCGTTGGAAGAGGGGAAATCCCGGATGCCGTTCCGGTGTCGGGCGGAGAATCCGGCGGGAGGAGCCGCGGCTCAAGTGACCAATCCTGGTGAGTCCGGAATGTTCCAGGGGGGAGGAGACCAAAAATTCCTGGTGGGAGGGGGGTTCTGATCCCAAATATCCACAGGGGAGGGTCCTGATCCCAAATATTCCTGGTGGGAGGGGGATCCCAAATATCCTGGGGGTCCTGATCCCAAATATTTCAAGGGTCCTGATCCCAAATACTCCTGAGGGGAGGGTCCTGATCCCAAATATTCCTGCTGGGAGGGGGATCCCAAATATCTTGAGGGGAGGGTCCTGATCCCAATTAATCTGAGGGTCCTGATCCCAAATATCCTGAGGGTCCTGATCCCAAATATTTGAAGGGTCTTGATCCTAATTAATCTGAGGGTCCTGATCCCAAATATCCAGAGGGGAGGGTCCTGATCCCAAATATTTGAGAGGATCCTGACCCCAAATATTCCTGAGGGGAGGGTCCTGATCCCAAATATTCCAAGGGTCCTGATCCCAAATATTCCTGCTGGGAGGGGGATCCCAAATATCTCGAGGGGAGGGTCCTGATCCCAATTAATCTGAGGGTCCTGATCCCAAATATCCTGAGGGTCCTGATCCCAAATATTCCTGGTGGGAGGAGGATCCCAAATATTCTGGGGGTCCTGATCCTGAATATTCTGAGGGTCCTGATCCCAAATATTTCAAGGACTCTGATCCCAAATATTCCTGAGGGGAGGGTCCTGATCCATAATATCCCTGGTGGGAGGGGTATCCCAAATATTCTGGGGGTCCTGATCCCAAATATTCCAAGGATTGTGATCCCAAATATTTCAAGGGTCTTGATCCCAAATATTCTGGGGGTCCTGATCCCAAATATCCCAAAGGTCTTGATCCCAAATATTTCAAGGGTCTTGATCCCAAATATTCTGAGGGTCCTGGTCCCAAATATCTCGAGGGGAGGGTCCTGATCCCAAATATTCCTGGTGGGAGGGGGATCCCAAATATCCTGGGGGTCCTGATCCCAAATATTCCTGAGGGGAGGGCCCTGATCCCAAATATTTCAAGGGGAGAGTCCTGATCCCAAATATTCCTGGTGGGAGGAGGATCCCAAATATTCTGGGGGTCCTGATCCCAAATATCCCAAGGGGAGGGTCCTGATCCCAAATATTCTGAGGGTCCTGATCCCAAATACTCCTGAGGGGAGGTTCGAGAGTCCTGATCCCAAATATTCCTGGTGGGAGGAGGATCCCAAATATTCTGGGGTCCTGATCCCAAATATCCCAAGGGGAGGGTCCTGATCCCAAATATTTCAAGGGTCTTGATCCCAAATACTCCTGAGGGGAGGGTTCTGATCCAAAATATCCCTGGTGGGAGGGGGATCCCAAATATTCTGGGGGTCCTGATCCCAAATATTCTGAGGTCCTGATCCCAAATATTTCAAGGGTCTTGATCCCAAATATTCTGAGGGTCCTGATCCCAAATATCCCAGTGGGAGGAGGGTCCTGATCCCAAATATTTCAAGGACCCTGATCCCAAATATCCCTGAGGGGAGTGTCCTAATCCCAAATAATTTGATCCCAAATATTTCAAGGACCCTGATCCCAAATATCCCTGAGGGGAGTGTCCTAATCCCAAATAATTTTTTTCTCCCCCCATTTTCCCCCCCCAGGCCCCTCCTCCTCCCCGCTGGTGCCGGTGCTCACCCTGCACCCTCCGTCCCGCGAGGACTTCCAAGGTCCCTTCCGCAACTCCACCCTGCTGTGCCAGGTCCGTGCCCCACGTCGATCGCCCGTCCGATGGCTCGGAACGGAGACCCCCTGGGGGCTGGAGCCGCTTCCGAGGCCGCCGGGCCCGACGGAGCCGCCGTCGTCACCAGCAGCCGCCTCGGCGTCACCGAGGCCGAGTGGGAACGGGGGGACACCTTCACCTGCCTGGCTGAGGGGGAGAGTCGGAACACCAGCAAGGGGTTGGAGTGTCAATGTGAGTAGGATGGGAGGAGGGGTGTGTTTGGGATGGTTTCCTAAAAAATTCCGAAGTTTTTAGGTGGTTTTCCCACAAAATTTACAATTTTTTAGGATTTTCTCAAAATTTCGTGAATTTCACCCAAATTCGACCAAATTGACATGATATTCCCTTGATTTCAAGCAAAAATCTCAGTATTCCCACTATTTTCTCAGGTTTTACCCAGTTTCCCCCAAAATTTCCAGTTTGTCGAGATTTTCCCCAAATTTCATGGGTTTGACCCAAATTCGACCTGATTTCCCCAGATTTCATGTAAAATCTCAATATTCCACAGTTCAATTTCTACAAATCCTCAATTTCCATTTTCAAAGTTCCAATTTCATGGATTTGACCCAAATTTAACCTGATTTCCCTTATTTAACAAAATCTCATATTCCCAGATTTCTCAGTTTTACCAGTTCTCCAAATTTCCATTTTTTTGAGATTTTCCTGAAATTTTGTGAATTTGACCCAAATTTGACCCAATTTCCCCCTTGAATTCAACCCAAATTGTCAATATTCCCACTAATTTCTCGTTTTTTACCCAAATTTCCCATTTTTTCAAGATTTTCCTGAAATTGGTCAACACCAATGGTCAATCTGGGTGGAAATGACCCAAAATTAAGAAAGGTTCTTCCAGTTGACCAAGTGGTCACCACCAATGGTCATTTTGGGTGGAAATGACCCAAACCCAAGAGAGGTTCTTCCAATTGACCAAGTGGTCAACAGGGATGATCATTTTGGATAGAAACCACTCAAATCCATCAAAGACCCTCCCAGTTGACCAAGTGGTCAACCCCAATGGTCATTTTGGGTAGAAACCACCCAAAATTAAGAGAGACCCTTCCCGTTGACCATTGGGTCAACACCAATGGTCATTTTGGGTGGAAATGACCCCAAACCATCAAAGACTCTCCCAGTTGACCAAGTGGTCAACACCAATGGTCAATCTGGGTGGAAACCACCCAAAACCAAGAGAGGCTCTTCCAGTTGACCAACTGGTCAACCCCAAGGATGGTCATTTTGGGTAGAAACCACCCAAACCCAAGAGAGGTTCTTCCAGTTGACCAAGTGGTCAACACCAATGGTCATTTTGGGTGGAAACCACCCAAAACCAAGAAAGACCCTTCCACTTGACCAAGTGGTCAACACCAATGGTCATTTTGGGTAGAAACCACCCAAAACCAAGAAAGACCCTTCCACTTGACCAAGTGGTCAACCCCAATGGTCGTTCTGGGTCAAAATGACTCAAAATCATCAAAGGTAACTCCAGTTGACCAAGTGGTCAACAAGGATGGTCATTCTGGGTAGAAACCACCCAAAACCAAGAGAGGCTCTTCCAGTTGACCAAATGGTCAACAAGGATGGTCATTTTGGGTAGAAACGACCCCAAACCAAGAGAGGTTCATCCAGTTGACCAAGTGGTCAACCCCAATGGTCAATCTGGGTCAAAATGACTCAAAATCATCAAAGACCCTTCCAGTTGACTAAGTGGTCAACCCCAATGGTCATTTTGGGTAAAAACCACCCAAAATTAAGAAAGGCTCTTCCAGTTGACCAAGTGGTCAACCCCAATGGTCATTTCAGGTAGAAACCACCCAAAACCAAGAGAGGTTCATCCAGTTGACCAAGTGGTGAACACCAATGGTCAATCTGGGTGGAAACCACCCAAAACCAAGAGAGGTTCTTCCAGTTGACCAAGTGGTCAACCCCAATGGTCATTCTGGGTGGAAACCACCCAAAACCATCAAAGACCCTCCCAGTTGACCAAGTGGTCAACCCTAATGGTCATTCTGGGTGGAAACCATCCAAAATTAAGAAAGGCTCTTCCAGTTGACCAACTGGTCAACAGGGATGGTCAATCCAGGTAGAAACCACCCCAAATCTCTCCCCCCCACCCCCACAGACGACCAGTCTGGCGTCGCCGGCGGCACCGACGTGCGGGTGGAGACGTCGCCGCCGCTCTTCGCCGACATCTTCGAGGCCAAGGCGGCCAAGCTGACGTGCCGGGTGTCCAACCTGGCGGGGGCCGAGGGGCTGGAGGTGACGTGGTTGAAGGAGGATGGAGAAGCCCTGGCCACCAAGGTGGGGCCTCCGGCCCTGCAGCCCAACGGGCTCTTCGGCGCCGCCGCCGTGGCCTCGGTGGGGGCCGAGGATTGGGAGTCCGGCCAGGCCTTCACCTGCAGGGTGGCCCACCCGGACCTGCTCTTCCCCAGGGAGGTCGTGCTCAGGAAGGAGATTGGTGAGGGTTTATTTATTTATTTATTTATTTATTTTTTTATTTTATTTCAATTTACCAATTTATTCATTGATTTATTGGTATATTTATGATTTTTTAATGGATATTTATATATAAATTATGTATATTTATATATAGATTATATTCATATTTATATAGTGATGCATTTATTCATCAGGGATTATATATTTATATATTTTTTATTATATTTATTAACCTATTTAGTTACCTAATTAATCTATTGATTTATGTATCTATTTATTTATCTATTTATCTATTCATTCATTCATATATTTATGATTTTATTAATTCATTTATTTATAGACATATTTATTTATTTATCTATTTATTCATTCATTTGTATTTATTTATATTTACTTACCAATTTATTCATTAATTTATGGATATATTTATGATTTTTTAATCCATATTTATATATAGATTATATTCATATTTATATAGTGATGCATTTAGTCATCAGGGATTATATATATTTATATATAGATTATATTCATATTTATATAGTGATGCATTTAGTCATCAGGGATTATATATATTTATATATATTTTTATTATATTTATTAACCTATTTATTTACCTAATTAATTTATCGAGTTATTTATATATTTATTTATGTATGTATCTATTTATTCATTCATTCATTTATATATTTATATATTTATGATTTTTTATCCATATTTATATATAGATTAATTATTGATTTCTTTATCTATTTATTTCTCTATTTATTTCTCTATTTATTGATTCATTCATTTATGAATTTATATATATTTATGAATTGATTAGTTCATTTATATATTTATACATTTATTCATCAGAGATTATATATATATTTATTTTAAATTTATTAATTAATCTATTTATTTATTAATTTATTATCTGTTACTAATTTATTTCTTTTTTAACTAATTCATTAATTTTTAAATTAATTTATTAATTTTTTAAATTAATTTATTAATTTTTTTACCCCCCGTGCCGCCCAGTGCCCCACGCCCAGGCGCCAACTTATTTATATATTTATGAATGTATGAATTTACTAATCCATTGATTCATAATATAATTTTTATTAACTCAATAATTTATTTATTAATTTCTTCTTTATTAATTTATTATTTTATTTATTATTTCATTCATTTTTTAATTAATTAATTGATTTTTTAACCCTACACCACCCAGTGCCCGACGCCCAGGCGCCAACTCCGTACCTGCTGCCCCCACTGTCCCTATGATTGATTTATCGATTTACCTATTCCTGTATTTACTTATCCATTTACTTAGTCATTTATTTATATATTTATATATTTATTTATATATTTATGGATTTATCTCTTTCTCCATTTATGCAATTTTTTATATATTTATGAGCGTATGAATTTAATAATCCATTGATTTATATATTTATGAATTTATGAATTTAATAATCCATTGATTTATCTATTCACGAATTTTTTTTTGTCTCTTTATTGACTAATTACTTAGTAATTAAATGCATTTATTAATTTAGTTATTAATTTATTAATTTTTTATCAATTCATTAATTTTTATGGATTTATGAAATTTTTATTAATTTATTTATTAAGTTATTACTTTATTAATTAATTTATGTATTAATGTATTAATGCATTAATTTTTAATTAATTTATTAAATTTTTAATTAATTTTTTAATTTTTTGATTAATTCATTAATTTTTTAACCCCTTACCCCCCAGTGCCCGACGCCCAGGCGCCCACCCTGTACCTGCTGCCCCCTCCCTCGGACCAACTCCGCCTGCAGGGCTCGGCCACCCTCACCTGCCTGGCCCTCTCCTTCAACCCCCCCGACCTCCTGCTCCGCTGGCTCCGCGACGGCGAACCCCTCCCCCCGGGCGCCGCCCTCACCTTCCCGCCCCGCCCCGAGCCCCGCCCGGGCCGCGCCTTCAGCCTGCTCAGCGCCCTCACCGTGCCCGCCGCCGACTGGCACCGCGGCGCCGCCTTCACCTGCCTGGTGGGCCACGAGCGGCTCCCGCTGCGCCTGGCCCAGAGGACCCTGGACAGGAGCTCGGGTAAAGCCGCGCCCGTCAACGTCTCCCTCGTGCTCGCCGATGTCGCCGGGGCCTGTTATTAAAAAAAAAATCTGATTTTTTACCTCTTTTCTGCCCAAAATTGCACTTTTTCGAAAAAAAAATAAACTCTTTTCAAAAAAAAAAAATCCCGATTTTTTTATGGCCGTTTTGACCCATTTTGACCCCCCAAAATTGCCATTTTTTGTTTCCCCAAAATCGTCATTTTTTGTTCCCAAAATGACCATTTTTCGCTCCCAAAAATGACCATTTTTCGCTCCCAAAATGACCATGTTTCGTCCCCAAAATGATAAATTTTAACTCTCAAAATCACTGTTTTTCACCCCTAAAATCGACCATTTTTTCACTCCCAAATTAACCACTTTTCGCTCCCAAAAATGACCATTTTTCGCTCCCAAAATTGACCACTTTTCACTCCCAAAATGACCAATTTGTCACCCCAAAACCGACCCTTTTTAACCCTGAAACGACAATTTTTCACTCCCAAAACGACCATTTTTCACTCCCAAAATCAACCACTTTTCGCTCCCAAAATCACCCATTTTCACCCCAAAACCGACCACTTTCCCCTCCCAAACCCCACCGATTTTTCCCCACCTCCCAAACCCCCGTTTTCCACCCCAAAACGCCCCCCTCGGGGCCCCCTTGGGTGCCCTCCCCGTGCCCGCCGCCGACTGGCACCGCGGCGCCGCCTTCACCTGCCTGGTGGGCCACGAGCGGCTCCCGCTGCGCCTGGCCCAGAGGACCCTGGACAGGAGCTCGGGTAAAGCCGCCCCCGTCAACGTCTCCCTCGTGCTCGCTGACGTCGCCGGCGCCTGCTATTGATTAAAAAAATTCCCAATTTTTTGCCTCCTTTCTGCCCAAAATTGCACTTTTTCGAAAAAAAATAAACTCTCTTCAAAAAAAAAAATCCTGATTTTTTTATGGCCATTTTGACCCATTTTGACCCCCCAAAATTGCCATTTTTGGTTCCCCAAAATAACCACTTTTCGCTCCAAAACTAGCCATTTTTAGGCCCCAAAATGACCATTTTTGACCCCTAAAAGCGACCATTTTTCACTCCCAAAATGACCATTTTTTGTTCCCAAAATGACCACTTTTCGCTCCCAAAATGACAATTTTTCGCTCCCAAAATGACCATTTTTCACCCCTAAAATCGACCATTTTTTGCCCCCAAAATCGACCATTTTTCGCTCCCAAACCAACCATTTTTAACTCCCAAAATCGACCACTTTTCGCTCCCAAAACCGATCATTTTTAGCTCCCAAAATGACCAATTTTTCACTCCCCAAATGACAATTTTTCACTCCCAAAACCGACCACTTTTCACTCCCAAAATGACCATTTTTCGTTCCCAAAATGACCATTTTTATCCCTAAAATAACCCATTTTTAACCCCAAAACCGACCACTTTTCCCCTCCCAAACCCCACCGATTTTTCCCACCTCCCAAACCCCCCTTTTCCACCCCAAAACGCCCCCTCGGGGCCCTAGTGAGCGCCCTCCCCGTGCCCGCCGCCGACTGGCACCGCGGCGCCGCCTTCACCTGCCTGGTGGGCCACGAGCGGCTCCCGCTGCGCCTGGCCCAGAGGACCCTGGACAGGAGCTCGGGTAAAGCCGCGCCCGGCAACGTCTCCCTCGTGCTCGCTGATGTTGCTGGGGCCTGTTATTGATGATTTGGAAAAAAAAATCCGATTTTTTTGAACCATTTCTGCCCAAAATTGCACTTTTTCGAAAAAAAAATAAACTGTTTTCAAAAAGAAAAAATCCCGATTTTTTATGGCCATTTTGACCCCCAAATTTGTCATATTTCACCCTCAAAAATGTCATTTTTTGTTTCCCCAATAACCACTTTTCGCTCCAAAACTAGTCATTTTTAGGCCCCAAAATGACCATTTTTCACTCCCAAAATCGACCACTTTTCGCCCCCAAAATGACCATTTTTCACCCCTAAAATCAACCATTTTTAACTCCAAAAATGACCATTTTTCGCTCCCAAAAAACCCAATTTCTCACCCCCAAAAATGACCATTTTTGGCCCCAAAAATGACCAATTTTTCACTCCAAAAATGAGCATTTTTCACTCCCAAAATGACCATTTTTTGTTCCCAAAATAACCAAATTCTCACCCCAAAAATGACCACTTTTCACCCCAAAATCACCCATTTTTCATCCCAAAACCGACCATTTTTAGGTCCCAAAATCGACCATTTTTCGTTCCCAAAATGACCAATTTCTCACCCCAAAAATGACCATTTTTCGTTCCCAAAATCGTCCATTTTTCACTCCCAAAATGACCATTTTTCACTCCCAAAATAACCAATTTTTTCACCCCAAAAATGACCATTTTTCACCCCAAAATAACCACTTTTCGCTCCCAAAACCGATCATTTTTAACTCCCAAAATTGACCACTTTTCGATCCCAACACTGACCATTTTTCGTTCCCAAAATAACCAATTTTTTCACCCAAAAATGACCATTTTTCACCCCTAAAATCGACAATTTTTCGCTCCAAAATCACCCATTTTTCACTCCCAAACTGACCAATTTTTTCACCCCAAAATAACAATTTTTCATTCCCAAAATGACCATTTTTCACCCCAAAACCGATCATTTTTAACTCCCAAAACCGACAGGAGGACCCTGGACAGGAGCTCGGGTAAAGCCGCGCCCGGCAACGTCTCCCTCGTGCTCGCCGACGTCGCCGGGGCCTGCTATTGATTAAAAAAAATCCCCTTTTTTAACCATTTCTGCCCAAAATTGCACTTTTTCGAAAAAAAAATAAACTGTTTTCAAAACAAAAAAATCCCGATTTTTTATGGCCATTTTGACCCCCCAAATTTGTCATATTTCGCCCTCAAAATTGCCATTTTTTGTTTCCCCAAAATGACCAGTTTTCCATCCAAAAATGACCATTTTTTGGCCCAAAAATGACCATTTTTCGTCCCCAAAAAAACCAATTTCTCACCCCTAAAATTGACCATTTTTTCACTCCCAAACTAACCACTTTTCGCTCCCAAAAATGACCATTTTTCACTCCCAAAATGACCAATTTTTCACCCCAAAAATAACCATTTTTCGTTCCCAAAATAACCATTTTTAGCTCCCAAAATGACCATTTTTTGTTCCCAAAATAACCAATTTCTCACCCCAAAACCGACCATTTTTAGCCCTAAAACGACAATTTTTCACCCCCAAAATGACCAATTTCTCACCCCAAAAATGACCATTTTTCACCCCCAGAACCCACCATTTTTCAACCCCAAAATGACCATTATTGGTCCCAAAAATGACCATTTTTCCCCACTAAAAATGACCATTTTTATCCCTAAAATGACCATTTTTCCCCCCCAAAATGACCATTTTTCACCCAAAAAACCCCCATTTTTCACTTCCAAAATGACCATTTCCCACCCAAAAATGACCTGCTTTTTTCACCCCCAAAACTCCCTTTTTTCACCCCAAAAAACCCCTTTCTCTCCCTCCCCAAATCCCCTTTTTTCCCCCCAAAAAAAACCCTCCCAAAAAAATGGGTTAAAAACCACCAATAAAAGGAATTTTCCAGAAAAAACGACTCTTGGACCTCCGGGGGGAGGGGTGGGGGAGGGGTGGGAATTTTGGGGTAAAATCCGGGAATTTGGGGACTTCCGTAAGTTGCGTCGTCCTCGCCGATTTCCCGCCAAAAAACGCCCCCAAAATCCCTCATTTTAACCCCAAAAATTCCCAATTCCCACCCCAAAATTGCTCCAAATTCACCAATTTCCCCATTTCTGCCCCAAAATTTGCATAAATTTCCCTTTTTATCCCAAATTAGCCCAAAATTTACCATTTTCCCCCATTTTTCCCAAAAATGAGAATAATTTACCCAAATTTCCCCTTTTTCCCCCAAATTTCCCCCTTTCTGCCCCAAAATGGACCCAATTTTCCCAAAATCACCCAAATTTTCCCGCTTTTCCCAGAATTTGACCCAAATCCTCCATTTTTGCCCCAAAACTCCCAATTTTGCCCCAATTTCACCCAAATTTTCCCATTTTCCTCAAATTTTTCCCCAAATTCCTCCATTTATGACCCAAAATTGCCCCAAATTGGCCAAATTTCCCCCAAAATCAACAAAATTCACCCAAATTTGTCCAAATTTGCTCAAATTTGCCCCAAATTCTCCCATTTTGCCCCAAAAATGCCCAAAATACCCAAATTTTCCCCAAAATGCCCAAATTTGTCCAAATTTGCCCAAATTTCTCCCCTTTTGCCCCAAAATTGCCCAAATTTGTTTAAATTTGCCCAAAATTTTCCCATTTTACCCCAAATTTGCCCAAATTTTCCCAAATTTCTCTTGTTTTGCCCCAAATTTTCCCAATTCCTTCTCATTTTTACCCAAAATTGCCCAAATTTGCCCCAAATTCCCCCATTTTTCATTTTGGGTCCAAAAAAGCCAATTTTGGGTAAAAACAGAGGGGGGGGGGGGATTCCACCACCAGGGGGTGCCAAAGGGACGGATTTTGGGGTGAGAAATGCGAATTTTGGGTAAAAAATTAAAGTTTTGGGGTGAAAAATCCGATTTTTGGGGTAAAATCCTGGATTTGGGGGCAAAAAAAAAGAGGAATTTTGGGGTAAAAATGGGGAATTTTGGGTAAAATCTCAGATTTTTGGGCCTAAAATCAGAATTTTCACCCAACCCCCAAATTTTGGGGTTTAAAACAGAATTTTGGGGTCCAAAAAGGGGAATTTTGGGTCTAAAATCCAAATTTTTACCCCAAACCCCCCAATTTTGGGGTAAAACCCCAGAATTTTGTGTCCTAAAATCCAAGTTTTGAGTCCAGAAATGGGAATTTTTGGGTCCAAAATCCCTCAAATTTTGGGTCTTAAAATTCAATTTTTTTCATCCTAAAACCCCCAAATTTTGGGTCTAAAAACCCCCAAATTTCAGGTCCAAAAATCCACATTTTTAGGTCCAAAAATCCCAAATTTCTGCTCCAAAAAACACGAATTTCCGCTCCTAAAAATCCGAATTTTAGCTCCAAAATCCCCAAATTTTGGGTCCAAAAATGCAATTTTTTAGTCCAAAAATCCCAATTTACCCTCCTAAAAATGCGAATTTTCGCTCCTAAAAATCCACATTTTTTAATCCTAAAACCCTTAAATTTTGGGTCCTAAAACCCCCAAATTTTGGGTCCTAAAACCCCCAAATTTTAGGTCCAAAACCCCCAAATTTTGGGTCCAAAACCCCTCAAATTTTAGGTCCAAAAATGCCATTTTTTAGCTCCAAAACCCCGAATTTTCCCTCCAAAAAAATTTGAATTTCCGCTCTTAAAAATCTGAATTTTCGCTCCAAATCCCCCCAAATTTTGGGTCCAAAAATCCTCAAATTTCAGGTCCAAAAATACCATTTTTAGTCCAAAAATCCTCAAATTTTGAGTCCAAAAATGCCAATTTTTTAGTCCAAAACCCCAAATTTCCTCTCCAAAAAAGCGAATTTTTTGTCCTAAAAATCCCTATTTTTGGTCCAAATCCCCAAATTTTTTGTCCAACCCCCCCAATTTCCTCCCCCCCCCCCAATTTGAGGTCGCAGAATCCAAATTTCGAGTCCAAAACCTCCAATTTTGGCTCCTAAAACCCGAAATTTGTCATTTTTTTCAGTGGCCACGGGCGGGCGCTGGTGGGACGAGAGCGAGGACCTTCAGGACCTCTGGGCCACGGCCTCGACCTTCATCGTCCTCTTCATCCTCAGCCTCTTCTACGGCGCCACCGTCACCCTCATCAAGGTACCCAAAACCCCCCCTTTTCACCCCAAAAAAATCCCCTCCCAAAATCTCCTTTTTTTCCCTTTTTTTGGGCGAAAAATGGGATTTTTTTGCCCCAAAATTGACTTTTTTCACCTGATTTTTAGCTTAAAAATTTGGATTTTTACTCCTTTTTTTTCCCCAAAATTCAGGTTTTTTCCCCCCAAAAAATCCCAATTTTCCCACAATTTTCCCATTTTTTACCCCCAAAAATTGTAATTTCCCCCTGATTTTCAGCCCAAAAATCCCCATTTTTGCCCCAAAATCTCTCCCAATTGGCACAAAAATCCGGATTTTTCCTCCTTTTTTTTCCCTCTTTTTTTCCTCACTGTTTTTGCCCAAAATTCAGGTTTTTCCCCCCCCAAAAATCCCAATTTTTCCCCCAATTTTCCCTGGTTTTCCCCCCCAAAAATTGTCATTTTTTCCCCTGATTTCTACCCCCAAAATCCCCATTTTTGCCCCCAAAACTCTCCCAACTCACCCAAAAATCTGGATTTTCCCTCCTTTTTTTTCCTCACTGTTTTTGTCCAAAATTCAGGTTTTTCCCCCCAAAAAAATCCCAATTTCCCCCCAATTTTCCCCCCAAAATTGTCAATTTATCCCTGATTTCTGCCCCAAAAATCCCAATTTTTTCCCCCAAAAAATCCCAATTTTCCCCCTAAAAATCCCAATTTTCTCTCATTTTCCCTCAAAATTCCTTCCCAAAATTCCAATTTTCCCTCCAAAAAATCCCAATTTTCCCCCCAAAAATCCCAATTTTCCCTCCAAACCCCCAAATTTTCCCCAAAAAATCCCAATTTTCCCCCTTAAAATCCCAATTTTCCCCCTTAAAAATCCCAATTTTCCCATTTTCTACCCCAAAACCCCCAAATTTTCCCCAAAAATCCCAATTTTTCCCAAAAATCCCAATTTTCCCCCCTAAAATCCCAATTTTCCTCCCCAAAAACCCCAATTTTCCCATTTTTCCCCCCAAACCCCCAATTTTCCCCCCAAAAATCCCATTTTCTCCCAAAATCCCAATTTTCCCCAAAACCTCAAATTTTCCCCCTAAAATCCCAATTTTCCCATTTTCTACCCCAAAAATCCCAATTTTCCCCTAAAAATCCCAATTTTCCCCCTTAAAAATCCCAATTTTCCCATTTTCTACCCCAAAACCCCCAATTTTCCCCAAAACCCCCAATTTTTCCCAAAAATCCCAATTTTCCCCCAAAAATCCCAATTTTTCTCCCAAAAAATCACAATTTTCCCATTTTCTACCCCAAAATCCCAATTTTTTTCCCCAAAAAATCCCAATTTCCCCCTAAAACCCCCAATTTTCCCCCCAAAACTCCCAATTTTTCCCCCAAAAATCCCAATTTTCCCCAAAAAATCCCCCAATTTCCCCCCTAACAAAACCCTCCATTAACTCTTTTTTTTCCCAAATTCCAGGTAAAATGACCCAAAAAATTCCGGCTCTTCCTCCCCCCCCTCCCTCTGGAATTTTCCCCAGGAATTTTCCCCTCCCCCCTCTTTGTAAATAAACCAAAAATAAAGATTTTTGTACCTTTTTTTTACCGATTTCTGCCTTTTTTGCCTCAATTTGGGGGGGTTGGGAGGGCGGGGGGGTCCAAAATGGGTCAAAACTCACCAAAAATGGTTCAAAATTCACATTTTTTACCCCAAAATCACCGTTTTTTGATGATTTTACCCCAAAAATCCACGATTTTTACCCCAAAATTCCCATTTTTTACCCCAAAATCAACATTTTTAACCCCCAAATCCCAATTTTTACCCCAAAATTCCCATTTTTACCCCAAAATCCCCATTTTTTACCCCAAAATCTCCATTTTTTACCCCCAAATCCCAATTTTTGGATGATTTTACCCCAAAAATCCACGATTTTTACCCAAAAATCCCCATTTTTTACCCCAAAATCACCAATTTTTTATGATTTTACCAAAAAAAATCCATGATTTTTACCCCAAATCCCCATTTTTTACCCCAAAATCACCATTTTTTACCCCAAAATCACCATTTTTAGATGATTTTACCCCAAAAATCCACGATTTTTACCCAAAAATCCCCATTTTTTACCCCAAAATCCCCATTTTTTACCCCAAAATCCCCATTTTTGGATGATTTTACCCACAAAAATTCACAATTTTTACCCCCAAATCCCAATTTTTTAACCCCAAAATCCCCATTTTTTACCCCAAAATCCCCATTTTTTACCCCAAAATCCCCATTTTTTACCCCCAAATCCCCATTTTTGGATAATTTTACCCCCAAAATCAACATTTTTTACCCCCAAATCCCCATTTTTTACCCCAAAATCTCCTTTTTTAAGCCCAAAATCACCATTTTTAATGATTTTACCCCAAAAAATCAACGACTTTTACCCCAAAATCAACATTTTGTGGTGGATTTTTGCCCCAAAATCCCATTTTTGGTGTAAAAAAATGATATTTTGAGTCATTTTTTCCCTAAAAATCGACATTTTAGGGTAATTTTTACCCAAAAATTGACATTTTTGATCATTTTGACCCTAAAAATTGACATTTTCAGTCATTTTTATCTCAAACTTTGACTTTTTTTGGGTCATTTTTGCCCCAAAATCGACATTTTTTGCTCTTTTTCCCCTCATTTTAACTCCTTTTTTGCGTCAAAATTGACATTTTTGGGGTCATTTTTACCCTAAAATCGACATTTTTTGCCCTTTTTTCCCCTCAAATTTTGATATTTTGACTCCTTTTTTGCCTCAAAATTGACATTTTGGGGTCATTTTTGTCAAAAAATCACCATTTTTGGCTCATTTTTAATCAAAAATCACCATTTTTGGCTCATTTTAACCCAAAAATCACCGTTTTTGGGTCATTTTTAATCAAAAATCGCCATTTTTTGTCCTTTTTTGCCTCAAAATTGACATTTTTTGGGTCATTTTTACCTCAAAAATCAACATTTTGGGTCATTTTTGCCCAAAAATCGACATTTTCAGTCCTTTTTTGCCTCAAAATCGCCATTTTTGGGTCATTTTTAATCAAAAATCACCATTTTTGGGTCATTTTTAATCAAAAATCGCCATTTTTGGGTCATTTTGAATCAAAAATCACCATTTTTGGGTCATTTTTAACCCAAAATCTCCATTTTTGGGTGTTTTTTCAGCCCATTTTTTCTCACGGGAAGATTTTTGGGGTGAAAAGCGGCGGTTTTGGGGTTTTTGGGTCAAAACAATCCCAAAATGAGTCATTTCCTTCCAAAACACCCCAAAAAAAAGAGAAACGAAACCAAAATGGACCCAAAATCGGAATTTTTGAGGTTAAAAAAGAGGAAGTTTTTTTGGGGGGAAGAAAAACAAATTTTGGGGTGGTTTTGGTGGGTTTTGATGTGTTCAAAAATTGATGTTTTTGGGTTGAAAAATTCATTTTTTGGGGTGTTTTTGTCCCTCTAAAAAATTGAATTTTTAGGGGGAATTTTGATTTAAAAAATCCATTTTTTGGGTCATTTTAATCCATTTTTTGGGGTCATTTTTAATCCATTTTTTGAGGTAATTTTTGCTCAAAAAAATCAATTTTTGGGTCATTTTTGCCCCTCTAAAAAACTGAATTTTTAGGGGGAATTTTGGTTCAAAAAATCCAATTTTTGGGTCATTTCAATCCATTTTTTGGGGTTATTTTTGCTCCAAAAAAATCAATTTTTGGGTCATTTTTGCCCTCCTAAAAAAATGAATTTTTAGGGGGAATTTTGATTAAAAAATCCATTTTTTGGGTCATTTTAATCCATTTTTTTGGGTAAATTTTTCTCCAAAAAATCAATTTTTGGGTCATTTTTGCCCCTCTAAAAAAATGAATTTTTAGGGGGAATCTTAGTTCAAAAAATTCCATTTTTTGGGGTCATTTAAATCCATTTTTTTGAGTAATTTTTACTAAAAAAATCCATTTTTTGGGGTCATTTTTACTCCAAAAAATCCATTTTTGGGTCATTTTTACCCCTCTAAAAAAATGAATTTTTAGGGGGAATTTTTACTTTTATATTTAAATAATCATAATTAAAAATAATAATAAAAATAAAATAATAATAATAATTTAAAAATAATAATTAAAAAACACTTCAAAAACGTTGGTTTATTTCTTACTTATTTTATTATTTAATTAATAATAATTATTAATTATTAACATTATTTGTCACTGTTTAATTTTAATTATCTGCATTTAATTATAGAAATAGATCATTTATTATCTATTTTATAGTAATTATTAATATATTATTACCAATATATCACAAATATAATATTTCTATACAATTATTTCTAGTATAATTATTATTATTACCCAAGAAATATTGATTTTAATTAATTAATTTTTATTCATTTTTTCCATTTAAGGTTTGCTCATTTTCTTTTGGAATTGAAATTAAAATTTTTCCTAATTTGCATAAATTTGCATAAATTTACATAAATTCAACTAAATCGCTATCAAACCACGTAAACTGTGTAGATTTACCCAAATTTTACTGAATTTTACAAATTTTACTGAATAGAAACGGACACAAATTGATCCCAAATTTACATAATAGATCCTAATTTTGCATAAATTTACATAAATACATCTCAATCTCTGTAAAACGCAATGGAATCACGTAAACTGTGTAGATTCACCCAAATTTCACAGAATCGACCAGATATGGACACAAAGTGATCCCAAATTTTTGTAAATTGAATCTAATCTGCATAAATTTGCATAATTATGCATAAGTTCACCTAAATCTCCATGAAATTGACCTAAATTTTCCTAAATCAATGAAAAATGGGCAATGAGAAATTGATCCCAAATTCTTGTAAATTGCTCCTAATTTGCATAAATCTGCATTAATCTGCATTAATTTGCATAAATTTGCATTAATTTGCATTAATTTGCATTAATTTGCATTAATTTGCATAAATTTGCATTAATTTGCATCGAACCCAGTAAAACACTATCGAGTCCTATAAACTGTGTAGATTTACCCAAATTTTACCAAATCAACAAGAAATGGACACAAAATGATCCCAAATTCTTGTAAATTGTTCCTAATTTGCATAAATTCACGTAAATTAGCGTAAATTAGCGTAAATTAGCGTAAATTATGGTAAATTCTGGTAGATTAGGGTTTCTTGGGCGCCACTTTGAGGAGGGTGACGCCGGCTCCGTAGCAGAGGCTGAGGAGGAAGAGGAGGCCGAAGGTCAAGGTGGGCCAAAGGTCGACCCCGCCCTCGTCCGGCCCTTCCGGTGACGTCACCAAAACGCAACCGACGGAGCCTGGGGGGGAGGGGGGGGAGAAAAAAAACGGGGCATTTTCAGTCAAAATGGTCATTTTTAGCCATTTACCCATTTTTTCCCACTTTTTGCCCGTTTTCACCTGGTTTTTGCTCGTTTTTCACTCAGTTTTCCCCATTTTTCCCCATTTTTTTATCCATTTTTGCCCCTTTTTTACCCCAATTTTGCCAATTTTTCACCCATTTTTTACCCCATTTTTGACCCATTTTTCACCCTTTTTTACCCCCATTTTTCACCCTTTTTTACCCCATTTTTGACCCATCTTTTCCCCATTTTTTACTCATTTCTGACTCATTTTTACCCCATTTTTGACCCATTTTTCTCTCATTTTAGACCCCATTTTTCACCCATTTTATCCCCATTTTTGACCCATTTTTAAAATCCCTTTTTTACCCATTTTTCTCTATTTTTTACCCATTTTTCACCCTTTTTTTTGACCCATTTTTTTCCTTTTTTTGACCCATTTTTTTCTCATTTTCCCCCCATTTTCCCCCATTTTATCCTCAATTTTTGACCCATTTTTCACCCTTTTTTACCCCATTTTTGACCCATTTTTTCTCATTTTTCCCCATTTTTCACCCATTTTTCCCCATTTCCCACCATTTTCCCCATTTTTCCCCCCATTTTTCACCCATTTTATCCCCAATTTTTGACCCATTTTTTCCTCATTTTCTCCCCACTTTTTTACTCATTTCTGACTCATTTTTACCCCATTTTTGACCCATTTTTTCTCATTTTTGCCCATTTTTCACCCATTTTCCCCCCATTTTTCCCACCATTTCCCCCCATTTTTTCCACCATTTTTGACCCATTTTCCCCCCATTTTTCTCTCATTTTTGACCCATTTTTCTCTAATTTTTTGCCCATTTTTCACCCATTTTTCACATATTTTTACCTATTTTTACCCATTTTCCCCCATTTTTCCCCAATTTTTGACCCATTTTTCACCCTTTTTTCACCCTTTTTTTACCCCATTTTTGACCCATTTCTGACTCATTTTTACCCCATTTTTACCCATTTTTCACCCATTTTTTACCCATTTTTTCTCATTTTTTACCCATTTTTCATCCATTTTTCCCCATTTTCACCCATATTTTTCCCCATTTTTCACCCATTTTCCCCCATTTTATCCCCAATTTTTGACCC